ATGAAGAATATTGATTTTTGGAAATCTTCAACTCTATTTCTATATCTTTAACCTATTATCATTCAATAAGAAAAATCAAATATAATAATTTAATATTAGAAAAATTGTTTAAGAAGGCAGTTTTTATATTGTGTTATTTATTTAATAACTTTTTTTAATAATTTATAATAAATTTTAGGTATTCAATATTCCGATATGATTAATAACCTTATCTTAACCCAATTTGAAAGCTAAGTTAGAAACAGATTAACAAATGGTTAATTTTAAATTAAAATCACTTTTTATATGATAATCAATTGATATCTTAAATTACTAAAATATATTTCACCATATTATAGCTATGCAATTTAAGATGAATATATAAAAATGAAATTAAATGCAATATTAGTTATCAGATAGGAATATAAAATAATTAAAAATACAAAAGAAGTTTAATAGATTTTAAATAAATTTATGTCTCTGCTCAATAGGATAAAAAATATTAAATTCAATTGAAACTAAATTTAGAATGATTTTAATAATTATATTAAATTATTTTTATATATAAGTTATTAGATCTAGAATTTGAGTTAATTGCTAAGTTTATTTAAAAATTAAAACATATATGCAGGTCAATTTAAACAAAATGAAAAAAAAAAATTAATTTACATTTATTGGAATTAAATAATTTATTTTAGAATTATTATCGTTTTTTTACCTATATGATCTGAGTTCTATCTGTCTCTTATTTTTAACTAATTAAAGGTTAGGAACTTTTTAAGAAGAGATCAAATTTAATATTATTTAACTTCAGTTTCTAAAATGAATTTTATATTACATTATCGTTGTTGCAAATATTTCATTCTTTATATTTTGGGATAAAATATGAGAAGAAACATTTATTTATTAATATTTTAATGGGAATTTGTAGCTCTAAAAAATCAGATAAGGAAGCAGGAATATAATTATAAATAGAGAAAACTGTTGCTGAGCAGAAATAACTTAAAATAGAGGAAGAGCTCTAAGTATAACATTCAACTAGACGTTCTATTTGTAACTAATTTTCTACACTTAACACAAATGGAAATGTTATCACTGTTCATTAAACTGAATAAGAAGTTTAAAAGAATGAGCCTTAATAATAATAACCTAAGGCTTCTAAAAAGAAGGCTAGGTCTACAAAAGATGATGTAAATTATTATAGAAGATCAGATCATGTACTTAAAGTTTTCTCTTTGATTGTAGAATTAACTTAAGATGAACAAAAAAAGTATTATAATATTACAATTGGAACAAAAATTAAAGATTGTGTACATTATGCTCATGTAAATGGAATCCTGATCACATAAGCAGATTTTGATCTCTTCCATTTAAAACCAGATACATTTAAAGAGGCTAATAAATATTCTCGAATACCTACTTTTTTTTCTACTGATAATTATTTCAATATTGACAAGGAAAGCCCAAATAGTTTTATTTCTTTTGAGAATTTACTTAATGTTGAAAGAATCATTTAACTTAAGTAAATTTAGATGAAATTAAAGAAAAAATAAAGTGTTCTTCAAGAGTAAAATACAAATCAATAAAATTAAAATGATTATGTTATGACTTCAAATTAAGAGATGCTTGAAATAATAACTGTAGTAGATATTGAATAACAATCAAGATTTTTAAATGTGTTATTTCACTTAATCTTATAACACTATCATTAAAACCTTGATTAGTATTTAGTATTTATAATCAATACAACTTTCTTATTTGATATACCTCCCTAATTTGATTAACCAAATATGTATAGATTGGCACTATTCTATGATAAATTATCATATTCATTAAAAGATCTTTAACAGATTTTATTAAATGATAAAAGTGAATTAAGTAATTTATTACATAAAAAACTATCATTAAATTTAATATAGATTCTTGTAAATTGTTATGAGAAATATCTTTACAGACTTAATTTTACTTTATCTACATTATTTTATGTTCCAAAATATAAATGTTTTAAATTAGAATCCTTTGGTAGAATGAAAACATTAATATAATTTGGTCAAAATCCAGAGGTGGCATTAAAGACTTTAGAAGAAAAGAAATATAAGGCATTTGCAAAAAGTTTCAAGAAAGATTTATTTGCAATAACTGATCTTATTATCTATTTCAAAAGTGTATAGAATTAAAATTTAAGAACTATAATAACAACTAGAAAAAAATATATTGCAAATATAAAAAAAGAATAAGGAGAGAATTTAGAAGATGAAAAGAATTATTGTTTATTGGCTGAAAGATTATTTAGTGATAATTAAGATCGTTATTTGCTTGAATTCATAAAGATGGCAATATATTCATGTGAAGTTACAGATATAGATAAATTAATTTAAGATTTTAAATAAGTTTCAGATAGTCTTAGAAAAGAATTAATAGAAGCAGATTATTAATAAGAATCAAAACAATTGGATTAATTAGATTAAAATCCTGAATAGTAAAAATAGTCTAATTCTGTTGATTTAGAAGATTTAAATGAAGTAAAATAATTGGAAAGTTTTCCAATAAATATATGTGAGGATTACAAATCTATTGCACTCAATAAAGACAAGATTTCTGAAGTTGAATAAACTTATATGGAGATAATTTATCAATCATTATTATATTCAAATATATTTCAAGCTTATTATGAAAAATTTCAAAATTTATAGAAGCCTATATTTTAAAATTGTTATGTGGAAATTCTTAATATTTTTTATTTTATTAAATAATATCCAGATGATTCTTGGTAAGAGAAATTAAAAGTAGTATCATAAAAAATGGATAAAGTAGTTGATCTTATAAAAACAGTTAAAGATGATAGTGTTGATAATTTTCATATTACTCTATTATTTTAGATTATGACATTATCATAAAAAAAACCTTTAGTGATTTTAAATTAATTATCAAAATGTATATCTAATTAATTATAACAGAAGTTACAAATGGATCATAGATTAAGAAGTTAAAATTAAGCAAAAGGATTACTTGAATAAAAAAAGCATGTGATGTTATAAGTATGGTCAGCTTTGTCTTATCTTCATTCAGACAATTATTTTTAAGCAATCAGTAAAATTTAAAAAGCAATAGGATTCTAATTAAAAAATTAACATTAAGCATCATTATCTTATGGTTATTCATTATTAGTGAGTGGAGAGATTGCAAGATTAAGTTTAGCTCCAATATCAGCTATGTTAAATTTAGAAATGAGTTTAGTGATTTATAATCAATTCTTTCCAGAATATAAGTAGGTTGAAGATTAATATGATATTTAAGATAAATCAGAATATAATCCATTCTAAATAAAATATAAAGATGTAAGAGTGAAAAACTTAGCTACAAGTAATAAAGCAAAAGTAGAGTTTCTTCTTGGAATGAGTTACTTTGATATACATGATTAAGAAAATTCATTATTATGTCTTAAAAGAGCTTAAGAATTAATGTTAAGATCATTTCATATTTATGCAGAAGAAGTAGTTTTTTTAGTATTATAATAATTATGGATTCATGTTTTATAAGATGATATAGGTCATGCTATGAATATTGCATTATTTTATGCTAATGATATGAATTAGTAATATAGAAAGGGGAAAGAATTTAAAAAGAAGATAATTTCTAAATTATAATTTATAATAGGATCTATATTTGAATTTAATGGATAATATTTAAGTGCTATTAGATTTATAGAACGATCTAATAGAACATTAACTAAAGCTAAAGGTAATAATTTTGTAATTTAAATGCATTATTAAGCTAAAAAGATTTCTATAATATCAAAATTGAAGTAAGCTTTTTTAAGAATAAAAAGTAAATAGTAAGTGAGATGTGAATAAGATTTGAGTTTATTCTAAACTTTAAATGAAGCAATGGGTTAATCATTTCAAATATTATATTTTAAATAACCAATAACTATGAAAACTTCAGTATTATTAGATAAATTTGGAAAATAGATAATTCATATTTAAGGTTTGGTTAGAACAGATGGATAAAGTAAGGCTATTAAATTATTGGGTGAATTGATAAAAGCTTTAAATAAGAGTAAAAAGGATGAGATTTATGGTTTAGTTTAGGATAAGTAACTTATATTATCTTTGGATAAATTGAATTCAAAAGAAATAGAAGCATAAATACATAGTGTAATAGAAATTCATGATAGATACTTATAATTTCCTTTAAAGTAACATCATGTACTTAAGTGTTAGCTTATTTTATTATGTGTATTTTTGAAATAGAAAAACACTACTTAAATATTTGAACATTTTAAAAGCATAGAATAAACAATTGATGAATTTTAGAATATTTTATAATGGAAATAATTAGTATTGGAAGGTGAGGATGTTTAAACATAAAATAAATTTGAGACTATAGTAAAAAGGGGAAGAATTGGTATGGTCTATTAAATTGCAAATGTAACTGAATTGATTGAAATTTACAATAAATTTAAGAAAAAAATATTTGAAAATCTATAAAATAGAGATAAGTTTGTTGATTTAGCCAATTTATTTTAGAAAAAGATAATAAATTCTTAAGCATTTTAAAAATTATTATAAACAAAATAAGCATGTTTACTTGGAAGTTATTCTTAAGTGAAAATAATCAATGAAATGGAATAGGAATAATAATAAGTAGAGATTATAAATTAAAGTCCATAAAAAGTATAAACAATAGAGGCATCAACAGAAGTTGATGGAAAAGATAATTAAAAATTATTTTTTGATTTGAGAAGTTTTGATGAGATAATGGTAGAGAAGAAGTTAGCACATCATAGAAAGGGATAAACAGAAGAAACACTTTAAAAGATTGAGGAAATAAATGAACCAGAGATAAATGAACCAGAGAAAATGAAGAAATCACATAAAAGAAATGAAACTGAAATGACTTTTAAGAGTGCAGTAAAAAAGAAAAAAATAGAATATAAAATGAATCCATTTTAGAGTACTTTAAAAAAACAATAGAAATTATAATGATGATTATATAGAGTTATTTAATTATATTAATTAATGTGGTTTATCTTTTTAATTGCTTTAGGAGTAGGTTTGAATTGTCCATAAGTGTTTTATTTAAGCAACATTTAAGAATAAGCTAATATAATCACATATTAGAGTGATTATAATTATATAATGGCATCTGTTTAAAATGCAATAGTTTTTATTTAAGCAGAATCAGGAACATTAAGATAACTAAAACCAAGTAAGTTAATATAAGTAACCAGTTGATGGATAGAGCGTAACCTTTCTGTAGACACAACAGGGATATTTATTTGTAGGGAAAACAAATCAATTACAAATTTATAGTTTAGATGAAGATAATCCAATACAAGGGTAGTTATCATTTTTAGGAAATATTAACTATTTATAATATGTAAATGATGTAATCAGTATTTCAACAGATCAAAGTGAGGCTCTAATTTGGAATATGGCACAAAATAATATTTTAGGAAGAACAAAATGTAAGAGATTCTATATATTAGAAATTTAGCATAATCTTTATAGAATATATTAATAAATTATCAAGTTTAGATTGACTAATATGCAGATAATATCTTAATTGGAATAACTAGTGCTGGAACATATCAATTAGAGTATTACTCATTATATATGTAATAATTCTTAAATAGTTTCATATTAACTTAATTTGATTTAAGTCAAATGATATCAATCCAATAAGATTAAGATAATATTAATACTTATTTATATGCTGTATCATCAACAACTTTAACTATCTATAAGATTAATAATAATGCATAGACAATTACAATTACAAATCAAATTATTAATATAGGAATTATTCCTATTACTATGTATTTAATTTAAGATGAAATCATCTTTTTATCTGCTAATTGTTAGTTTCAGAAATATAATATAAAATAAAATAGTTTAGGAATTGTAACTTAATGGATTTAAGTATCATAATGTCCAAATAATATTAAATAACTTTTATTAAATTATGATGATTTAATAATTATTATATTAATTAATAATCCTATTGATGGATCAGAAATGATTTAATTATATTAAGTGGATTAAAATCTTATTGGTACTAAAATTAGATCATTTTATTATTCAACTTAAAGTATTAGTGCATCATATATATTAAAATCATAATATGTATTATAAGTTGGTTAAACTAATAGTAACATTTAAATATTTAATTAATGGTTTTAATTATAATAAATAATCATAATCAATAATAATAATTATCCTGCATTATAAATAATTTAATCTGATATTATTTTGATTCTTTATTCAAATGGTTTAGTAATAACATTATCAGAAACATCATTCACATGTCAATTTACTTAATATCAATGTTATACATATAATTTATAAGATTCATTTCAATAATAGAATGTTGCAACATATACTAATTAAATGATCTAATAATTTCAATATAATAATATTATTTATGTTGCTTATGCTTTGAATTAAATAGTAAGTTTTTATAGTTTTACAAACAATATATTTAGTACTACTATAACAAACTAATAGGATCTATTGAATAATATTTTATAAATAGTTATTACAGACAATTCTATTTAATTTTTATTATCAAATAATTATATAAATAGTTATCCTTTTAGTATAGCCATTTAATAAGAGAACAATCCAATTTCAATTAATTTGTAATTGCAGAATGTGATATAAATTACATAGGATCATACTTATCAAGTGATTACTAATGGATAAGCAATTCAAATAAGTTTACTAAGTGATCCCTCAAATTCTGCTGTATTACAATGTAATTATCTTCATTTATAATCAAAGAACCAGGACGATCATACAAATAAATTTTAATATATAACGATTATTTGTTAGTCTTAGAATAGTAATCATATACATTGTCATTTTATTAATTAACTAATCTAATATAATAAATTGATTAAACAGATTATGTGATCAAAACATAATATTTTAGTTAGTATTTTATTTTAAATAATAACTATTTAATTGTTTAGTTTAAATATTATATAATGACCTTATAATTAAATGAATATTTTTAAACAGGTTAAAGTGGTTTAGAATGTGTATTCACTTAAACTTATAGTAGTAATAGCAATGTATTATCATTTATTAATACTTAAATATCATTAACTAACTTTTATATTTTATATTAAACATTAGATAATTTATTGACTGTAAGAGGTACAATTAATATCAATAAATAAAATATTGATTGGGATAGAATTATTATTAATTAAGGCATTAATTAAGATGTTAAATTATATTTTATAGGAATTTCTACATCTTAATCTAGTATTATCATTAGGAAAAGTATAGAAAAGTTTAATTCAGTTAATTTTTAAGATCTTACTTTAATTGTTCCATTTTGTAAATTGTAATTAAGTAATATTGTAATAAGTAATATTGTGAATTGCTAAATTATTAATTCATAATCTTAATAATGTCCTTATTTTATTATGGATAATGTTTATCAATTTATGCTTCAAAATTTTAAAATAAATAATTTTGAAATGTCTTAACCATTTATTTAATCAAACTTAGGAGCTAATATTCAATTAAATAATATTGAAATATCAAATTCTAAATTATATTAGTTGGTTTAAATCACAGATAAAACTTTATTACTATTAAAAACTATTACTATCTCTAATTCATAATGTTCTTCATCAGCAACCTCAATTAATTAATTATTTTAATATTATTAACTTGATGTTTAAGATCTTACTATTAATGGAAATCAATTATGTAGTACACTCTTTAATAATATTCTTATAGAATCATTATAACCAATCATAATTAAATTTAATAATATAGTTATTTAAGACAATAGTTTTTCAACTTATTTAAATGCAGCAATTCTCAATTAACAATTAAGTAATTTATTCTATTAATCAGCAATTACTTTAAATACAATCTAACTTTTTAATAATTAATATCAATAAGTAATCAATTATGCATTTAAATTTTCATTTGGTAAAAGTATTGATGCATCACATTTGATTTTTGATAATAGTTCTTTTCTTGTTTAATCATTTGATACTATTACATTAAATGATTTTACATTTTCAGTATCATCTTCATTAAGTCTTGCTATTTTTGAAATACCCCATATTATAATAAACTAAGTTTACTTTGATTAAGGAACTATATATTAAAATGGATTAATTACAATATCTAATCAAAATGATTACGATTGCACATAAATTAATTCGTGTTTAATTTAAATTTCATTAGTGAATATTTTAAACTTTAAAATTATTTCAGCTTCTTTGTTAAGTACATGTTATGGAATTTTAATTGATCTTAAAAGTAAATTTTAAGTTAGTTTATCTTAAATATCAATTACAAATTTATAATTGAAATAGACAGATTATAATTTTATAGTTTCATCAACTGGTATATATTTTTAAGGATATCAATCCTAATTATAAATTGATTAATCTGATTTCAATAATATTAATTGTAGTACTAGTACAAGTTTATTAGTTTTAAATGCATAGATGATAACATTTAGTTTTTCTAATGTAAATTATTTTAATGCAACAGATTCAACATATCATGGAGTATAAAATATAATTGGTGGAGTAGCATAAATCTCTTGTACTATATTTTAAGTTTAAAATAGTAATTTCAATTAGATATATTCTTTTAGTGGTTCCATTTTTTTAATATAGATGTATCACTCATCTTCATATAATCCTAAAATTACCTTTACAAATAACAATATTAATAATGTGTTTTCATTTGGTAATGGTGCAATATATATTGATAATACTTTGGAAAATACAATTATCACTATATAAGCAAATAAAATAAATTCAATATTCTCTTTATAAGAAGGAGGCTTTTTATTCTTTTAAAAAGAAGAAACAACTAATTATCCATATTTAAATATCACAAATGTTGATATTTCTAATATTTCAAATGTATAACCTTACAAATTTACAAAATAATTAAATTTTTTAGATAATTCCTTCTCAAACATTTATTCTAAAAATGGATCTATTCTAAAAATTGAATTATTTAACATAACAATAAAGAATAATACATTTTCATATAATAATTTAACATAGACACCTTTAATATTTAATCCTTATTAATTAACATAAGGTTCATTATTTTATCTAGAACATTGTGTATTTAGTGCAATTTAATTGAATATTAAGAATATATAATCATTTTCTACTCAAGCTTAAGAAGGATAGCTTATTTATACAAATCAAACTTGGATTTCAATTTAAAATAGCAACTTTTTTAATATTATTACTAAGAATTCACAATTATTATAATTAATCACTTCTTATCTTAATATAAATGCACTTACTATTTAAAATATTAGTCAAATAGCTTATAAATTGAATTAAAGTTTAATTTAACTATAAGATTGTACAATATATATGTTAAATCTATAACTTAAGTAATTATCTTGTGATCTTTCTAATTGTTTGACAAGTGGGTTTTATTTAAAGAATACTTATTCATATATTAAAGGAGGATCTTGTTAAGGAAATAAGGGAAATTTTGGTAGTTGTTTTTATTTGACATTAAAGGAATAATTTGTTTAATTTGAGAATGTTAGTATGATAAATAATTATGCATAATTTGATGGTGGATCAATTCTGGCAGATTTATAGAATGTATCTAATATGAAACTTGTAAATTGTACATTCTCTTCAAATGTTGTTTTAGGTTCTGGTGGAGGTTTATATATAAATTCATTTAATAAATAATTTTAATTATCTGAGGTGTTAGATATTCCAGTTATTACTATAATTTAATGTTATTTTGTAAATAATATAGCATATAGATATGGAGGAGGAATAAAAACTTAAGTATTTTCACCATTTCTAATTGATGTCTTCTATTATAATAATAGTGCATTAGTAGAAGGAAGTGATATAAGTTCTTATCCTTCTTCTTTATTTTTAAGTGGTCCTTTAATTAATTAAGGAGTGATACCATAAGTATATGATGAAGATTTATAACCAGCAGATGGATACTTTTTTATAAAAGATATAAATGATAATGAATATATTATAAGTAATTTCAAGAGTGGAGACACTATGAATTCACCTTTATAATTAGTATTGAAATCATCAAATAATTTAACTATGTACAATGAAGAGTCTTATTTAAAGATCTTTCAAACTAATAATTAAAATTATTCATTATCCATTTCCAATTCTGATAGTCAAGTAAAATTTAATTAAACTGGATTCTTTTTAGATGGACTTACACTTATTGGAATTCCTAGTACTGAATTCACTTATTATTTAACATCAGATGAAATTAAATCAACAAACTAATACAATTATTATTATACAAATAATTATAATTATACTTTGAAAGTCATTTTTCGTAAATGTTTATATGGAGAAATTAAATAGAGTTTTGATAGCCAAACCATTTGTTATAAATGTCCTTAAGGCTTTTATTCATTTAGTATCCCTACAGATGAAGACCCTGGATAATGTTAAGTATGTCCACTTATATCAACATATCATATTTAATGTTATGGAGGAGCTGAAACTAATTTAGAATCCAATTATTGGAGAGAGAATGTCACTACATTAGAGATATATAAATGTGATCCTTAATTTAGTAATTGTTTAGGTGGTGTCTCTTAATCTTAATGTGGTATAGGATATATGGGTAGAATGTGTTAATCTTGTGATTATAATGACAATTATGCTAGAGATACAAGATCTTCTTGTGTAGTTTGTACTTAAGTAGAATGGCCATTAGTTATTATATTACTTACAAGTATTGGAGTTCTTATATATTTTACTATGTCCATATTCTTTTTAGCTTAAGATGTTGTTATCTTATGTGTATTACCATGTTTAAATTAATTATTACCACCTTTAAAAAAAATAGGATCTAATTTAGGATAGGTCAAAGATTTAAATTCATTAATGAAAATATTCTTAGCTTATTATTAAAAGACATCTTTAGTAACTAAAATTGTTGTTAATATACCTTCTTAATTATAAGATTCTTAAGATCCTTCAATTTTTGATTTCTCTTTAGAATGTCCTATGATTAATGTTAATAATTACATTCCTATGGTTTATGTTAATTACATTATTGAAGTGTTAAAACCAATATCATCAATGTTATTTTTCATGTTTATATGGACAATCCTATTTAGAAATTAAAAAATTAAACGAGGAATTTATTACACTGCTACATGGTTAGTCATTTGGCTCTTTTATTTACCAAGTTTTTATGAAAAAACACTTTAATTATTAAATTGTAAAGATATTGGAAATAACAGATATCTTAAACCTGATTTAAATCAAGATTGTTATGGTACTTAACATTTCTTTTATACTCTTTTTATATCTATACCTTGTCTATTTTTTTTTGTTATTTATATTCCATGTATGCTCTTATATCATATTAGAAATGATATGAGAAAGAAAGATAAGAGACCACTCAGAAAATACAAATATTATTACATAAATGGTGAATTTAGAGAAAAGTATTATTATTGGGAATTTGTGAGATTATTAGAGAAAATACTTATTTAAACTGCTATTGAAATCTTTTTTTATGATAATATTTATATGGCTGAATCATGTTTAATAATAGTTTTGATTTATGGAATTGCATCATTTGTTACATAACCTTATGGCTATAAAAGATAAAATTTTATTAATGTAATTTCTAGTTTCACTGCTTTTGGAACTATTTATATAGCTTTAGTCATAGCATCTCTTAAGAATCAATTTACTGATCCTAATGAACCTATCATTATATTTTTTGAAGTAATATTGGCAGCTATAAATGCAGTTTATGCTTTATGGATGAGTTGGAAATTATTTATTGTTCTAATGCCAGTTTTGTTTGTCAATATTGAATAAATTTAAAGAGTAATTTATTATTATAAATTATTAGAAATTATCAAATATTAAATATTTAAGAAAATTCTTTTTAGGTGAAAGATTAAGAGCTAAATTATTATTTAAATAAATAGGTTAGAAAGTTATTGTGATCAATTTAATTAAGAAACATGCTATGATGAGATATTTGAAAAAAGAATAAAAGGAAAAATAATTAATCGAAATAGTAATTATTTTATTCATTTTATTATAGGAAGAAAAAATAAGAAATAGAAAATAAACAGCAGCTTAAGAAGCATTAAATTACATTTTAAGAAATAATTTATAATCAGAAATAATACAATTAAAAGATAATAACAATGTTGATCAACAATATGTAGAATTATAAGATAATTCAAAATTATGAAATTAATATATATAATTAATTTTTTTTTAGATTTTAATTAAAAAATAGATTTAATATTTATTAATGAAATTAATAAATCTATATAAAAATAATAACAAAGATTATATTCAATCTCAAAAAGTTATAGTTAAATCTTAATAACCTAATCCATGATTAAATACAAGTGCTTTTTAATATGACTTTTTTAACATTGCTAGGTAATATTAATTTAATATTTTACAATAATTAATATAAAATTGCTATCTCTTTTATTTTACAAATTCAATTGCTTCTCTTAAATCATATTTGAGTATTGATGCTAAATAAAGAACTACTATTGAAGGAGCTCTACCTATTCCTGCTGTACAATGAACATAGACATATTCATATTCATTAATTAATTTTTTCAAAATTTATACTGCTTTATTTGATTTTTTTTGAAAATCTTCAGAATCCATATCAAATATTTAATAATTCTTCATCACAATATTGTGTCTTTTGTATGCATCTATAATTTATTCCCAATTAACTCCACGATGAAACATATCAAGACGAGTTTAAAGATTTAAAACTGCTCTAATTTATTTTTATTTTAAATTAAGAATATCTTATTCATTTTATGGATAAGGTCCAATTAATATATTCTCATTTATTTCATAAGTTTAGAATTATACTACAAAATTCCAATCTAATTTATTTAATCTTCCAAATTCTTCATAATAAAAAAAAGAAGGCTCTTTATCTGCAAAAGAGTATCCTTAATTATTTTATTTCATTTTAGATTTTTGTATTTTTTAAGAAGAAAAAGATCCATTTTTATTTAATTACCTAGCCTGAATAGCTGAATATATTTGAGTTTTCACTTTTATTGGATGATGATCATATTAATCCAATACTTATCTTATTGAAGTTAAATCAGCACTTTTTAAGTAACGCCCATTACCTCTTTCCCATATCATTTTTCCTGTTTCATCATTTCTTATTACATAATAATAACGAAAATAAAAATTTAAAGGATCCACAATAAATGATATTGACCATTATTATGTAGGTTCTTCAGTTACTATAAATATTATATTGAATTTATTACAAATATCAATTTTTAATTGTGATTTCATAAGTACAGGTGAATTCCATGAACCAATCTCAGGAATAGATCCTATTATCATCATACGTTCTTTAGGTTATAAAGTGTGATTGAGTTTTAGTTTTATAGTTCTATATCCCCAAAACTCCTCTAAAATAATATTACAATTGTATTACAATTAAAATACTCACTCTTCTTTCCATTAAGCAATAAATGTTTAGTGATTATACGATTTTCACCAGGTTCCCAATATGCTTAGGAAATTGAAGGTTCATTATAATTGTTAACCAAGAATTTGTACTCGAATTTACGAGTGATTCTAGGCAATTTAATACATATGGTCCATTCATGATTCTAATTTGTTTAAATTTAATACTTAATTCCATTACAAACGAAGTGCCTTACAAGAATCCCACATTCCTAAAGATTCATCATCCCCACATAGATAAATTGCTTATCCAAATTGTGTTATGTAATGAATCTTCAAGTATATTTTAACAATCCTAACATCTGTAAAGGAAGAGTTAGTGGATACTGAGTTCATTAATAAATAAATATAAAAATTTTAAGTTAACTAAAATTATTTTCAAATTTAATTCATAGTCAAGTGGATTTTCAATATTACATAATTACTATAATTCATTATGTTAATGAATTTTATAAAGAATAAACCTAATATGGATTTCTATATTCTAACCTATCATCAAATAAAACTAATAAGAATTTTAAATTTTATTCAAAAAGAATATGCAATCTTTCATTCTCTCAATAATGAACAAAGCTAAAATTGCATAATATAATATTATTAAATTTTAGTTTTTAGTCTTTATTTTTAATAATTCAATAAAAACTTACTAGTTATTCTTTAGAGTACTGAATGATATTAAATAATTTTGTTTGATTAATTACATAATTATTATAACTAATAGTCATTAAATATATTTAATTAATTAATATTTTAATAAAATTATTATTCAATTATTTCCAAATACATATCTAGTATATCCTGGTAATCTTATAGAATCATCAAGATCTTATGAAAATCTTGATTATTAAGATATTTTTGATGATATTTCATTTTATTAAATTTGTTTATTTTCTATATTAGTCATACTATCTATTTTATATTAAAGTACAGGTTATTATTCAATTGATTATCTTGTAGCCATTTGAGGAGGATGAATCAATAAATCTAATTATTATTAATAATTTTAATAGGCTTCTTTAGTTGAAAATTTCTTCAGAAACTCATTAAAACTAATTCTACCTGATTTATATTACTAAAGCATAAAGAACACTCTATAGAAATCATTACCTTTAACTTGAACTCCTTTAGACTTAATATAAGTAATAAAATCATTGTATATTAAATATCCTTTTTATTTCTAATCTAATTTTCTGAAAAAATCTTCAAGTTATTGAATATCATTTCCTATTTATGTTCTTAGGTATAAAAGACTTCTTTCAATTTTTGCATATAAACTAAAAATCTAATGGATTAATTTTTAATGATCCTAATTTAATACACCATCTTATGGAACTTTTGATTATCTCCATTATGGTGTAGTAGAGAATTTTAATAAATTAGCAAACTCTGCATATGAAATAATATTATCATCTTCACCACCTAAAGTTTTAAACAAAGATTCAATTTCTTCTCTCTTAAGAAGAATGTCTAATTTCTATAATGTGATAATAAAATCATCCAATTATAATTTTCTATCCCCATTAACATCAAAGAATTCAAAAAGTTTCCACAAACTAAAAGTTGGATCATTATTCAATTTATTTTAACAATTTGTTAATTGTTCAAAAACATGATTGGTAGCTATTAGGAAACTAAAAAAATGATATTCTTCTGGTGTTAATGATTTAATTTATTTTTAAAGTATATTTTTGATATCGTATTGTTTATTATCATCAACAGCAAGAGGGATAAAAGGTTAGGTTTGTTTCATTTATTAAATTTTTTATTTGAAAAAAAATAATTAGTTAAAAATAATTAGAACAATAAATTCAGATATACTATAGTATATACATCTATATATAATATTGAGAAAGTTTTGAAGGTTCTTGGTTTTCTTAATTTAAATTCATATATATTAAAAAGAATCCTTCTACATATTCTTTAGAATAAGTTCTTTTATTTTGATAAAATATTATAGTTTTCTGAATTATTAAAATTTGCATTCTAATTTTTTAATAATTATTTTAAATAATTTAAATTTATTATGTTCGGAGGTAGTATGTTTGGGAACTAAAATCCAGCTTAAACAACTGGAGGTATTGGAGGCATATTAGGTACTATAATTTAAGATAATTAAGGTCAACCACAACAATCAACTTTTGGGGCACCTTCAGGAGGACTTTTTGGAAATACAGCTCCATAATAAGGTTTATTTGGTTAGGCTCAAGGAACATAAGGACAACCTGGTTTTGGTGGTTTAATGGGAGGTTAGATGCAATAAGGAGGATTAGGCGGAGGCCTTGGAGGAGGTCTTGGAGGTGGACTCGGAGGAGGACTTGGAGGAGGTCTTGGAGGAGGACTAGGACTTTAACAATAACAATCAAGTACTTTTGGTACAGCTGGAGGATTAGGCTAGCCTCCAGTATTAGGATAATAAGCACCTACATTTGGTGGTTTAACTGGAGGTTTAGGTACAGGATTAGGTGGCGCTCTTGGAAATGGATTTGGATAATAGACTGGATTATTAGGTTAAACACCTTAAACAGGAGGATTATTTGGGTAAACACCTTAAAGTGGAGGAGGATTGTTTGGATAGCCATAATAACAATAGCCAACTTTATTTGGTTAATAATAATAATAACCATAACAGTAAGCAACAGGTTTATTTGGTGCTCCAGCTTCTTCTGCTTAACCTTTTGGACAATAATAGGGAGGTGGTTTATTTGGATAGACACCTTAATAACCATAATAGACTGGATTTGGATTTGGATAATAATAAACTGCAGCTCCTATTGGTGGAACATCTCTTTTTGGTTAATAACAACCTCAATAATAAGTTCAAGCTGGTCTTGGATTTGGAGGTGGTTTAGGACAATAAGCCTAACCTGGTAATTAAATTGTATTACCTGGTGGTGTTGATGATTCAGTTAATGATGCAAGTCTAGAATAAAGAATTAGATTAGAAGATTCAGTGTCAGCAATTTGTTGGGGAACAACAATGCCTAATTTTTTAGCTATTTCATCTTGGGATGGTAAAGTGAGAATATTGGAGATACAATAGAATTCATATAAGAGAGAATTATTTGAAAGAAGATCATTTTAAGTTGATGGAGCAGTTGGATAAGTATAAAATCCAATAATTTGTATGGATGCTAAGGGAGATTTGTCATAAATTTTTGTAGGATGTGGATTTGATCACACAGTAAGAGTTATAGATGTTAATTCAGGATAAATAGCATCTATTGGATAACATCAAGGATTAATAATATCTGTTTATTGGATAGAATCTGCATAAATGATACTATCAATATCAACAGATTAATCATTAAAAATGTGGGATATTAGAGCTCCAGGATAACCAAGATTTTAATGTCAATTTTAATACAAACCACTTGTATCTGATTGTAATTTCCCATTATTGGTTATTGGATTTGCATCTGAAAAATTAACAATAATTAATTTAAATGAATTATAATAATTACCAGGAAGATTTTAATATATTGATTCACCTTTAGGAACATATTCACAATTAACTTCAATAGCAATATTTCCAGCAAGAGATGGATTTACATTAGGTTCTATTGATGGAAGAGGACATTAAACAAATATTACAACTAAATCTACTCATGGCATGCCTACTGAATTTTCACTAAAATCAATCATGACCTTTAAAGCACATAAAGTATTGATATTATTTTTATTTTAGGTTGAAGATAATTAAAAAGGAAAAATATAAAATTATTTCTTTCCAGTCAATTGTATCTAAATGAATATCAAAAATAACTACTTTCTAATGACAGCTGGAGGAGAAGGCCAAATGATCTTTTGGGATATTAATGTAAGAAATAAAATCAGAACATTTTAATTCAATTGTAATCCTATAGTTTGTGCTAAAATGAGTCCTGATGGTTCCATGTTAGCTTACGCTTTAGGAAATGATTTTTCTAAAGGTCCTGAATACTTCAATGAATTTTAACCAAAAATATTTGTTCATTTTATTCCAGAAAATGAGCTTAGATACCCTAAAAATTGATAAATATCTATATATATTTTTATTAATCATTTCACTAAGATTGTTTAATTAAAAATTATATATGTAATAATTTTAATAAAATTAAAAAATGAATTAGGATTCAATATGTTAGACACACAACCAACCCACTATAGGATATTATTATGATTAGGAAGATATGCCTCATCAGTTCTGTAGTGGTTGTAGTCTTGTTAATGTAAAATATTCAATTTAATTTTATAGTCACCATATCGTAGATATTCTTATTAAGATATGATCAATGATAAGTCTAAGATCAATGATTAAAAATAAAGATTTATGTAAATTTTAACTGAACTAATTGAAAAACAACTGGAGTATATAGAAAGTATTAATAAAAAGTTCAAAATTTTGATAGAAGAAATTAAATCAGAATGCATAGTTTTTGGCTAAAAATTAGAATAGATGAGAGAAACAGTTTAAAATGAATATCCTCTAAGAAAAGGTCAAATTACAAAGTTATTAGATTTTTAGAACTATAATATAAATTTAGTAAATAACGAAATTTATACTCTATGCAATCAATATTTTGAAGATCATTATCAGAATATTTATAACACTTCCTAAGGTAATATTTAATCTTTATTTACAAAAATGTAAAACGGCATACCTTAGCTGTTAAATACTAAATTGATTAATAATTCTGATCAAAAAAATTTAGCTTTATACAATCTGGAACTTAACTAATTTATTGACAAATAGGTTCAATCTCTGAAAAATAAGATTTAAGAAATTTGTTAAGAGAATGCTCAATTGTAAGACAATACAAAAAGAGATTAATTTTATTTTAAAATTGAATCTGATAAGTACTATATTAAAGATATTTCCTAACTATTTATTGATATTCGAAATTATATAGACATAAGTTCATAAAATATATTTTATCAGTCTGATATTGAGAAATAATTAAATGATTTTATGAGTGCTAAAAAATTTGAAGCTTAAAATAATGATTAAACTGAAAATAATAATTAGACTGAAAATAATGATTCTATAATAAATTTTAGTGATGATGATGATTTCTATATTTAAAATGAATAGATAGAATGAGATTATGTTGAATATAATTTACTTAATTGAAATTTTTATTTTTAAATTCTATTTTTTCATATTGATTTACTTTTTATTAAATAATTATGGATTCTTGATAAGAAAGAGCTTTTTTAAAAAGCAATCGAAATAAATAATGTTGAAAATTCATATTAAGTGTGCAAATAATATCAAAATTTTTAAATATAATTATATATTAATATTAGATAAAGTTTATAATGATTCGGTTGAGGATCCAAGAGAATCATGTAATATTTTATAAAAAGAATAGTGAAATTTGATCTACCTCCTATTTTTGTGAGAATTGAATTACCTCTTGATCAGTAACTATAATATTGGATTATTTAGAAGAATTAATAATTATCTATGATATGAATCCTATGCCTATCAAAGATGATTCTATTAAAATACAATAATTATCAATTTATTTAATCTTATGTATACCTGAATCTAATGAGAATTCATGAAATATTATTAATAAGATTTTAAAATTTTGACAAATATATTTATACTGAATCAAATTTCAGTATAAAATAAACAATACTAGTTGTAATAAGATAAATATGCTATTTTTAATGTTCCTTACTGAATATTAATTTTAAAAGGTATTTATAAATAATTTTATCATTTAACATATCAAATATTAATAGAAAGATAAAAAGAATTTGAAGAGATAAGTAATTATAAAATGCTAAAATAAGTATATTAAAAGTGATTGTGATTATTATAATTTAATTTTGTATATTTATCGATTTATTTCATTCAAACTTTGGTTTGATGACTCCTACATTATTGTAATATTCATCATGAATTTATGATCTATCGGTATAAGTATGAGCAAATATAAATGCTGATCCAAAAACAAGGAATGAATATAATTTAAATCTTTTCCAATTTTAATTTTGCAAATATCCTTATTTGAATACAGCTTTATTCTTAGGTCTATTATATAATTTTAGATAAATACTGATAGTATGTTGGAACACCAGTGGTTGTTTATCTATAAAAATATGACACAGGGATGAACTGTTGAATTAATATTAAATGTTACATATAATAAACTGAATACGATTCCAGAAGCAGCAAAGTTAAGAATCCATTCATATTTGAATGTATTTAATTTATCAGCATAATCCATTTTTCTTTCTCTTAATGCCTCATTCATATAAAATTTATATAGTGGTTAGTCATAGAAAGACTTTTCAACTGTGGCAATATATCTCTTTTCTTGATCTCTATTTGGAATTGGTGGAATCTAATCTTCGAATCCCATTTTTAATAATTTTTATTATTAATATATATCAATAAACTAATCTGAAGATATCATTATGCACGTATAAACCTCCTTAACCATTTGGAAGAATTTAAAAACTTTATGAGAATTTGTATGTCTCAGCATCATCCATCTGTAATTACCCTGTGACAAAAATGAATAAAGAATTCTCTAATGCTCCTGGTTAAACATCCATATCATCAATTTTATAAACTATTTTTTAAAAGGCCAATGATTCCAATTTTTCATTGATTTATTTTATACCATCATGTTATTATCCACCTAAAAATAATTAAATTTAATGAAAAACCATAAGTCATATGAGAGGCATCTGTATAAAATTAGATTAATCCCATTTTGTTTGTCATTAAAGTCTAATAGTATTGTTAAAGGAATTGTTAAGCAATTGTTTAGGCGGGATTCATAATTAAAAAAAAATAAAAATATTTTTAATGTTTTGAATTATTTAAATTTCTGCATTTATTCTTTGGAAACATAAAAATTTAATAATTATCAAAATTTAAATAACTTATTTCATTACTTTAAATGATAGTTCCTTCATATTCATAAGTAAAATTTTATTATTAACTAATAATTTTTTAGTTAAAAAGATAATTAATAATGTTAGATTTATAGCCTAATAGAATTTAAGGTTTATCAATATTATTATTTCTATTGTAATTAATATAAAAACTATGTTATTTGTAACAAAAATTTTCCAAACAATTAATTAGTCTAATATATTTTGTAATATTCATACACTTATATTACGATAACTTAATATAAATATGAGGTTTATGTAATAAGATTGGAGTTACAATTCTTTTTTTTTACTTTGTTTAATAATATATATTCTTAAATAGATTGATATATAAATATATTTACTTAGAAGAAATATAGAGTTTAGGGTGTTAATTTCTTAAGATATTTTCTCTTTCTTTTAACTTAAACTATTTAAATTAATTTGTTTCTGTAAACTTATTGATTAATAACTTATATAGTCATAAAAAATAAATGTTAAAATGATACTGGATTTAAATTTCGAATAATAGACAGTAACTAAATTTTATATTTCTATTTATTTAATTAAGAATCAATGAATTATCTTTTAAGTTAGATTTAATTTGAACTTTAATAAGATATTTTAATAATAATATTGATGATCAACAAGTATCGACTAAATTAGATTAAATATATACTTATTATTCATAGTTTTTCATATTAATTAATATTATAAATAATTTAGTAAAATAATTATGAAAGGAACAATGGATGATACTTAAGATTAATAGTAGGGTGATTAAGAATTAAATAATGAAGAAAAACATATTTTAGAATAAAAATGTATATAGCATTTAAAATATTGATAAGAATAAATATTGAATAACAGTGGTGTATTGGCTGCTTATGAATATTTTTTGAGAAGGCTTTGTAAGGATGGATTTCCAAGTGGAAATGTATATGAGTATGCAGCTTAAGCTGTTTTAAAATATGAAAAAAAGAAATAAGCTGAACAGTTTCGACAATAGACAATGGCGAAATCTTTGGCTGAACTATAATTAAGTAGCATATACTCAAATAAATAAAGATGAAAGACTTAAAGCTTAGCTATAAGCTAGTAAAGTCGAAGTTAAAGCAGACCAAAAAAATGATAAAAATGACAAAAATAAATCACCTTAAAAAGGTAATAAAGATTAAAAGGAAAAAAATCCAAAAGATTAAAATTAAGGGAAAAACGATAAGAAGGACACAAAAGCTTAAGGTATATTTATATAATTATATTGATAAAGATAAAACAGATACAAAATAAAAGAAGAAATGAGTTACATATTTTTAATTTATTTCTTAAAATAAGTTATTATAATATTTTACTGAAAATAATGATCTCAAAGAATAATAAAGAAGAGTGTATATACATAGTTATAATATGGAGTAATCTCAAAAACTTTTATTTAAAGTATTTAAAAATTATTGTTTTGTTATCAATTATTGACCACCTCTTTATAATCTTAAAACTGTAGCAATATCTAATTATTTGACAGCATAACTTCTTTATTTTTTATCTGCATAAGTTCTTAATAAAAAATATTATCTAGCATAATCTCCAGAATTGACATAAAGATGATATTCAATTAATTTTAAAAACACTTTCTCCATTTCATTTATTTGAATTGTTGAAAATTATGGTAAAACTTTTGCAAAATTATTATTTTCAAATGATTCATCATCCCATATTTTAGAAGCCATAACTAATGCTGTAAATAAAATCTTTTGCCAATTCAAACAATTTATTTCTAATCCTTAATTATGATCTAATAATCTATTTATATAAATCATTGATATAATTGCTACTTCTCTTTCCATTTTAGTTGTTGTCATAATATTTTTACAATAATTTTAAATGATATCCACATTTGGTATATAATTTGTCAATGATTAATCAATAAAAACTTTATTAAATAATTAAGAATCTTATAAATTTAATGTTGTATCAACTGAAAATTAAGATAAAGGTAATTATTAACTTAAATTTGAAATATATTTATTTTATTAAGAATGAAAACTTGAATTGTTAAGATTTAAACATTCTAATTCTTGATTACCATTTTATTATTCATTATTTTCAAAACTATCATTATAATTTTAATCTAAATCTTTCTATTATTATTCTTCTTCTAAATATTCTTATTATTGTTCATCATCATCTTGTTTCAATAAAAAAGTCTAATCTAAAATAATTTCATTATCATCTCTATCATTTATTATATTCTAATCTAATAATATATTTGTTATATACTATCCAATTAACTCTATTTTATATCATCAATCTATTAAAGTTAACTAATATTTTTTATTTAATCTAAATCAGCTAAAACCATCATTTTATTTATTGATATCCCAACACAATAACTTATTTCTTCTATATCTATATTAATTAATGTTGATGCCAATCTTCCATTATCAAAAGATTGATACAACAATTAAATTGATTCCTTTTCTAAATTTATTTCATTAGTATTTTTTCCATTTATTAATAATAATTTATCAATAAATTTATTATTTGGTTTTTCTTAATAAGATTTCTAAGTAATTAAATTCTTCTTTGTTTAATTTTATAAAGGATTTTTAACTGTTTTCTATGTTTATTTTGAAATCATCTCTTTTATATTAGATACCTATACAATATTCTTAAATTATTAATTTACTTATTTAGAAGTTATTTCTTCAACTTAAGAATTTCTTTCTTTTTTTCCTTTACTTGAAACCTTTTCTAATTTTGGTAATACTCTTGGTTTAATTTAAGTCAATTCCTAAGGAGGTGTAAAATGTTTTATAGATGCTTTTCTATTAATTGGTTTTAGTATTTCCATGTTTACTTCTTTAGTTTATTCAAATTATCCATGTGAATTCAATTATCCAGGTAAAGTATTACGATTTTAAGCAAAATTATTATGATTTATTAATTAAATATTATTATCGTTGTAATATTCTAAATGATCATTTAATTGCTTAAATAAATCTTAAAATTTTTATCTATGTCCAGGTAATAACTTAATCTCTTGTAATACAATATTCTAAGATTCTTAAGATTATTATGCTAATTATTGTAAACCACTCTTATATCCTCTTAATAATAATTTATTCGTATATTATTATAAATTGTATTCCATTAATTATCTATTATTACTTAATTCTAATTACTTATAAAGTATACTATCTTTGAAACCTGTTAAATCTGAATGGTAAGTTTTATTGCTACTATATTCAGTATCTCTATTAATTCTCTCTAATTAAATTATTATTATAATTTATTACTTTTTGATGTATTTTTTTAATCATTTCTCATAGTCGATTTCACATTTAAAATTTTATTAACATAACTCTTTAATCTAGCATCATCATCCCATTTTTTCATTCTATTTAATTTTGATTATTTATAATAAATAATTATAAAACATATATATAATAAATATTTCTTCATAAAAGATGGATTATCATCTATCATTAATTAATATATTTGATCTATTATCTTAATGATTTTTTTAATTTAATTAAATGTATATGTTAATAATTTCTATTATTTAATTATTTATTTTTTCTTTAAAACCAAAAATTCTAAATTAAATTCTTATTATAATTATCTAAATACTATTAGATCTGTAGTAAAAATAGACTAACAGTAATTTACTAATTTTTTTAATTAAAATATTGATCTCATTTATTCAGCTTCTATAATATGAATAGTTATCAATATTAATATATATCAAATTATTGTTGAAACTATTCATTTACTAATTATTAAACAATACATCTAAAATATTTGTATATGAATAAAAAATAATATATAGATTTATTTATAATTATTGGTTGATAAGATTAGATTGGTTATTAAAGGAGAGATTACAAATGTATTAATGTATAAATTGATATTATCCTTAATAACGAAAAAAATCTATTAATAAAAAAATTTGATTAACAGTTTAAAGAATTTTAAATTTAAATAATATGTATGACACTAGATAGATGTACTTTGATAAAGATTCATCTCTTCATAATATAAGCAATCTTAGTGATAAAAAGGATTATCATGTCTATCAAAGAGATCTATTAGCAGAGTTAAATCAAAGTTAACAAAGATTAACAGTTTAAGAATTAGAAAATAAAGTAGTTATGTTAGCTACAGAGAATGAGAGATTAATATCATAATTAAATGATAAAAATAGAGAAATTGAATTTTTATAAGAGGAATAACGAATGCTATAGAATGCTTATTAATCATAAAAAGATGATAGATATAGAGCAATAGAAAATAGAACAACAAAAATGATATATGAAAATGAGAAGGTTGTTTTGATGAATTAGAGTTTACAAATTTAATTAGAAGAATTGTCTTATCAATATGAATCATTACAAAAAAAGTTTTAAGTAGAAACTGAAATAATTGAATAAAAATGGAAAGCTCATTATGGAGAATTGTATGAATAATAAAACAAGAATCTTACAGCCAATATTGAGAAGTTACTAAATGAATTAAAATAAAATTCAGATCTTATTTAATCTTATGAAGAGAAATTAAAGAGTTATTCTAAAGAATTATAAATGGTTAAAGAATAATTAGATTATAAAGATAAAAAAGGTAATGAATTACTTAATAATAATTAATAAATAAGTAACATTATAGAATAGTAAGATGCAGTTATAAAAAAGAATACAGAAAAGATTTAATAATTATAAATATAATTAGAATAATAAGTTAATGAAAATAGATAATAGAAATAGAGATTGATAAATTATGAAAAAGATATAGAGAATAGAAGAATAAAGTATGAAGAATTGATAATATAATTTGAAGAATTAAAATTATTAGAAAAAGAAGAAAGATTATAATTAGAAAAAAATGATTAAGAATTTTAATAATATAAATTAGAAATAAATTAGATGAAATCTAACTTAAATGAATTGAATAGAAATCATAAATTATAATAATAGGAAAATCAACATAATTATAATAAGGAAATTAATCATCTTAAAAAATAAATATAATAAGTAATTATGGAAAATGAGGATTTATAAAAATTACTTAATTAAACAAGATAAAATCTTAATAATGAAATTACAAAAACTAATAGTCTAGAAAAATAATTAGCAGATAATGCTTAAGATATTTAAATTAAAGAATAACAATTACTTATGTAATATAAAGAATTAGAAGCTTAAAAATTAAAATTTGATAAATTATTCTAAGAAAATACATCCTATCTAAAATAATAGTAAAATTAATTTGATATCAAATTGTTATAAAATTAATAATAAAATAAATTGGTAATTTATTATAATTATAATATAGTAAACAGAACAAATTGTATAATCAAAAAATAAAGAAGTAAATAATCTAAATGAAAAAATTAATGTTTTATTATAGAAAATCGATGAATAGGCATCATACATATAATAATTATCTTATTAAAGTAACATTAAAGGTGAAGAGATTGAAGAAACTCGTCCATAAATATAAAGTCTTAGAAATGAATTACATAGACTTCAATAACTTACAGTGGAATAAAGTAATGAGATAGACAATTGGAAACTAAAGACTATTCGTATGGAAGAAAATTATGAAATGTAAAATAGAGATCAATTAGAAAAATTATAAAGATTTCAAGATGAAATACAATAGTTATAAAACAAATTACATAAAACATAAGAAGAAAATATCAAAATAACCAATAATTTATAAGAAACCTTATCAAATTTAAATTCAATACAATAATTATTATCAGAAACCCATTAATAATTAAAATTTGCAGAAAATAAAATTGAAATTTAATCTTAAGAATTAGTTGAAACTATTTAATTAAAAGAGTAATTAAGTTTACTTAAAGAAAAACATTAAAAAGAAATTGAAGCCTTAAAAAAGGCAGTAGATTCAAGTTTAAAAGTAAAAATTGAAAAAGAGATTGCTTAAGAAAGAGAAAAACTTGAAAATTATTCATAATAGATAACATTAGAAAAAAGAGGTTTAGAAAATGTTATATAAAATTTAAATACAGAAAATTAGTTATTAAAAACAGAAATAATGCAATAATAAGAATATTTCAAATTGTAAGTATAAGATCTCATTGTAGATTAGCAAAAACATTTAATAAATATAGATCATGTGTATAAGTAAAATAAAATATTATTATAATTTTAGATTAGAATTAAAAGGTTTATCTGAAGCCTAATAAATTCAATATAATTAATTTGTTGTTCAACTACATTTATAAATTGCCACATTGATAGAAGAGAATAAAAATCTAAAAGAATAATGTTAATAATGGTAATAGTAACTTAAAAAATATGAAAAATAAAGTACTAAATTAATTAATGAAATGGGTAATATATCTATATTGATTATATTATTAGAATATCGTGTATCATCATTAAAAAAAGATAACAGCAGACTAATTGATGAAAAATGCTATGAAAAGTCCAAGAATACTTATCTTGAAACTTAAATAAAGCGTTCCACTCCTATTAGAGAAGTTCGGTCATCATCCACCTATGTTGTTGGAACTCCAAAAAGGAATAGGTATGGTAAATAGTCAGTCCTAAGAGAAATAGACTTAATTAATCATTACTATTGATATTCATTTAGTTTAAAAATATTCGAATAATTTTCCTTATCCGATTTATTATAAAATAAATCATTAATTTAAATATTAATTAATATGTTTCGAAAAAAGTAATCAAGCCATTATTAACAATTATATGGGTTTTGATTTGTTATAATTATGAAATTTATTTATTTAAGTAAATAATGATCAAGACTTCTTAGTTAATGTACTAATTGTGAGAGCATTTATAGAATTTTATGTTCTTGGAGAGTCTTATGGTTTACTGTAATGTAAAATTCTTTTGACACTAAAATTGTTTTCCTTTTTAATGTTGGTTATGGATGACTTTTTGTATCTCTGAGAACTAAAATTATATGTAATGTATTTTACAAATTTTGTTAATCTGGTATTTTTTCCAAGATAATATTTTTTGAGGATTTACTTTTTAGTTATTCCAACATTTAATCATACATTTCTTTAGATATTCCAATATGTCCATGACTAGGACTTTGAGATGGAAGATCAGACAATGTTTTTCTGAGTTATTAAAAATAATTACTCTAACTTATGACTTATTTGTATTATTTTAGCAGCTTACTATTCCAAAGTTTTTGATGCTTAATTTGACACTCCCATTTACATAGCCTAATCTTACATAGAAGACTTTTCTTTCTATAAGGATATAATTTTATCCTCATATAAAGTTTTTAAGTCTTATATTTGTTTTTTATGTCTTTTTTACATTTCCTCAATTTGAAGGTTGAACTTACTTTCTTGAACTAATAATTATTCTGATTCTTGTGATTAAATTTGTTCTTATAAATACATAATGTCTTTTTTTAGAATAATATTTTCAGCCTTTAATTTTTCATAATCTGCTGCTTTTTCTTGAAATTAATGAATTTATTTTTGAAGTAAGTATAATTATTATGATAAGACTTCTATTTAAAGAGACATCTTATTATTTTAGTTATTCAATTAGTGATTTAAAATTTCCAAATCTCTTGTTTAATTCATTTTTATTTTGATATTAATTACCAAAAAAATAAATCAGACTCTGTTTTTATTTTAAACTATTAGATTATAATATAATGTTAGTTAAATTTAGATCGATTATTAAATAATTTATTATTTATTATCTATGAATAGGGATTATCTATAATCATTTTTTTTAAGTCTGATCCATAGACAGGAACAATATTTTTGGGTTTTTGTTTTTAGCAATAAGTTAAATAGTTTCAAAATATCTAATTTACATAGCTGCTTTAGAATCTAACATATCAGCAGCCTCTCTCATAAGTTTTGCAGCCTCAACGTCACTCTAGTGTTTAACATAAAATTACTTTTGCTGAAATTATTTTAGACTAAGCTAATCTCTAAGCTTTAGGTGCATTAGAAAGTGAATTTTGTAATTCATCTCCCATTTACATATCCTTAATAAAAACATGTTCTAAATAGATTCCTAATATAAATAAATAAATAATAATAAATACCCCATTCTGATACAACGTCAAATACAAATCCTTCTATTTCATCTGCTATCTTCTATCTATTCTCAATAATATCTTATAATGTATGTTCACCAGTAATTGTTCGAAGAGTCTTAAATCAACATATTATTACCGCGTATGTTATTTCTTTAACAGCTTCAACAATTCTTTTCACTCTATATGCTGATTTACACACATCTACAACTCTATAATATACAATAGTATCAATATTAACAGTTATATTGTCTTTAGTCAATATAAGTTATCTCTCTAAATCAATAATGCTATAATATTATAACTATTTGAATTACTATGTTTTTGTACTAACAGGAATAATTCTATCTGTAAAACTAAAAAATAATATAAAAGAATTACGGATTAAATTCATGTAGTCCAGGTTCTAAAGTCCTTTAATATTTTCCAAATTTTTATAACAATCCCTTTTACCCTTATGTTATTTCATAATATGGATATGGACAACAACAACAGCAACATGGTAACCATGCTCTTAAGGTTCCAAAAAAAGATCCAAAACAATTTAAAACACTTTCATAACATGTCATTTTCTCTTTCTCTGGATCATCACTATCATTATTAAACCTTTAAATTACCTTTCATTCTCAAAATTAGTTCTTGCTCTTCTCATTTATCTTTTCTCTGTAATATTTACTTCACCCTATAGCATTTAATCTTTTAGTAATTTAATTAATATATTTCATATATAGAGAATTGTTTGAATATTTAAACATATATCTGAAAATACATTATAAATCATTATGTTACTTCAATCAAAAATAATATAGATTAAAATCTCATTTCTCAAATGTTTAATTAACAACCATTGAATGTGCTAGTTAGTTCACTATTTTTTCATTCTCAACATAAATCTTATTGGCATCTTTTACCTATATACACATATAAGATATTTGCTATAATAATCTCTATAATTTATACTTTTCCATCTATCTCACAATTAATAGTCTTTACTTCTGGTTCAATTATAAACACATCAGTTAATTCTCTAATTTTCTCATAAATTTCTTATGAAGCATTATAAATTGATAAACTAGCAAAATTTAATTTACTATCAACTATCACAAATCCAGCTGGCACAGTATTTTATTGTGTATAACTTACCAAACTTTTACTAGCTAAAATAAATCCTTTATTTATCCCATCTTTAAGATCTCCTATAGTACACATTTATAGTGGTTTATCAAATCCTTTTGGCTATTCTCTTAATCCTATAGGAATTTATTTGACAATGTTTGATAGCTTCTTTTATGTTATCCTGCATTTATTAGTTACCAAATCATGTACTTTTAGTACTTTCTATTAGACTTCTTTTAATGTATCATTTGTTAAAGATTAATCTATCTTATTTGCTTTTTAATAATCATTGAAGGCTAATTGATAATCTTCAAAATAACAATGAATCTACGATTATTATAATATAATATTACATTTCCTCTATTGAAGTATAAATCAGGATTTTCTCTAGTTTAATTCTTTTCTGATTAATTGTATGCAGATAAAGCAAGATTTAATTCATTATTATTTTTCTTTGGATTCATAAAATAATCAGAAAGATAAGCATTTCCAACTAAATACCAAGATTGAGCATTTTTTAAATCAAAAGTTAAAGCTTTCTTAGCTATTTCTAATGATTTAGTCACATTTGCACTCTTATCCTTTTGATCTCCAACTTGTCTCAAAACAATTGATAAGTATTATAATGATTTTATATTATTTGGATCTTTTTCAATAGCAGTTTCAAAACATTATTTAGCTGCAAGAAAATCTTTTTTCTTCCATAATATATGTCCAAGAGTATTTAAGCTATCTATGTGAAAAGGATTTAATTTCATCTAAATATGATTTTGAATTAATTTTTACTGCTTTTGTAAGAGCTTCTTCAGCAAATTTGGAATATTCTGGTAGAATATCAGAGGCTTTACCTTTTAAAAAATATAGCTCTATTTTATGTTTCTTTGAGACTAAAAATATAAAATATTCAAATTACTTTCTAAATCTTCATTTTCAATAAAGGAATCAATTTATTTAATAATTGATGTAACTTAAGGTTTATAATGTTCTCCTTTTTAAAAATCATATTCTGCCTCTTCAGTTAATTAATCAACTTAAAGTTTTAATTGTGAAAGTTTTTCGTCCATGAAAATATTAAATTTAGAAAATAAAAAAATTAATAAACATATTAGTAAAGAAGATTATTTTTATGAATTTCTATGTTTATATTAGAATAAAATGAATAAAAGAAGAAGTAAAGTTTATAAATATCTTATAGAATATTACTTGTTATAATTGATAATTAATTAATAAAAATGCAACAAAATTATGCAGAATTATTGTTTTCATATTTTACATAGGTGGCAAATTAATCTTAGACAGGTCGAAAAATAATTGAAGAAATTATAGATTTGTTTGAAGAGAGAGCAAATCTTGAAGAAAAATATGCAAAATCATTAGAAAAACTAGTGGCTAATATTGGGAAATTAGATGAGAAATCACAGTATTCATATTAAATTATTTATAGAATGTATAAAGTTCCTATTTTCTGTTTGAAAAGTCTTACATCAAGTAGGTAATATTAAGCTTAGAGTTTATGTACTTAAATAAGAGAGGATCTGATTACGTAGCTTAGATAAGTGATTTAATAATAAAATGGGACATCAAAAAAGTTGATTGAAGAAGCTAAGAAAATGGAAAAGGAGAATTTACTCTTAAATCAGGAATTCAAGAGAGTATCTATTTAATTAAAAATTTATAGAGTTTCTAAGATTATAAATAAAAGAAAAGAGAGTATGAATAATATGCAACAGTTTTGGTAGTATATAATTTATTATCTGAATATTCAGAGAAAAAGAGAATCAATTAATATTATAAGGTTAATCAAATAAAAAAGGAATATTTAGATCTTGAATAATAATATAAACAATCTGTATTTGAATATAATTCTAATTGTGAAAATTCTAAAACTAGAATGCAAGAAATATTAAATATTATGTAAGAATAAGAAGAAAAGAGAATAGGCATATTTTAAGATACTTTAATTAGATAGATTGTAAATGATTTATATATTCATATAGATCTTTGAAGTATCTCATTCTAAAAATGTTTAATATGATCTAGAGAAAATTACAGAAGTTATCAATGAAATTTAACCTAAAGATGAAGTTGCTAAATTTATTAATAATGTTAAATAAGAGGGTCCAAATCTTTTTGAGAAAACTGAAATTGTTCATTTAAATTCATTTATTAGTAATAGTTTATAGAGGTTCTTTTAAAAGGAATTTGATGAATTATTGAATTTAAATAATGATGAATCTGTTAATGATATTATTGCAAATATTGAATAAGGAACAGATGTTTTACCAGAAGATTAAAAATAATAGGAAACTTATTATGCTGCTAAATTAATAAATGATTGTTGGAAGGAAGAGGAAATCTCAATATAAGTATTTTAAGAATTAAAGAAAAAAACAAAAGATAATTATTAATTGAGAATGCTTATTATTGTTGCAATATAAAATAAAAGATTAAATACTTAATTTAAACTAGGAAGTATAGCATTTTAGAATGTACTTAAATTATTCAATTCATTATTGGAAATAGTATTATTAAATTCAAATAATTTAGTGTTTAGATACATTTGATGCAGGAACTTCTAGATAATTAATGAATCTATCATTTACTTTTTATTAAGAGAAAATTGAGAATAATAAAACAAAATGTTATTTTTTATCAAATGAATTTGCTCAACATTAGGTATGGGAAAATAGAGATTTATGGGAAACAAGTATTATTTAATAAATATATGAAAAAATAAAAGATTAATAATAGAAATAAAGATTATAAAAGTATTATAAATATTTATAATATAGTTAAAATGATTAAATTTAAGTAGAAAAGAATATGATATTAACTATTTTAACATAAATGGCATAAAATATGTTATTATTTAATTTTAAAATTGGTGCATTGAAAGATATAATGTATAAATTTTTAGCATTTTTTGAATTAAATGAAGAAATAACATATGATTTATTTGTAATAAATATAATTTTTATATTAGAATGCAATTGAAGGTTTTGAAAAATAAAAAAAAATTAATGATGCATTAGAAAAAGAAGCATAATTTCAAAAAATATAAGAATAAATTTAGAAAGCTCAATAAGAGAATAAAAAGGATTGATTGCATAATTTAAATTCTATTTTGTAAACATAAAATTTAGTAATTAACAATTAATTAATTAAAAAATTTTAAGTTATATTTTCAAAAAACTTTATGTTCTTAAAATGTTTATAAAACTGCTTTAGTTGTTTTAGCTGATAATAATTCAGTTAATTTATTAATATCTTTAGCTAATTTATGATTTTCAATATCACTATCTCTTAATGTTTTATCTAAAGCTTCATCTCTATGTCTGCTATCCTAAATATATAGAATAATATATTACTTCTTTAAATTTAGAATGATAAGTAGTATCATTTTTAAAATTATTATTAATTTTATTCAACTATTCAACTTCATGATTATTTATTTTAAATTCTTTCTCTTTTATTTTTGTTAATTATTCAAGTACTTTTTTCTCAAGATCTTTTCTATATATAAAATCCTAAGAGATCATAGATTAAAATTATTCTAATTGATAATTATCTACAGAAAGATTTCTATTTTCTAATTCCATTCTAACCTTATCTTTTAACATATCAGAATATTATTCTGTAATTTATCTTAATTCTTTTTAAGCTTCTAAAATTGATTATTAACTTTCTCTAATAATCTTTAATCTATCTTAATCAATTCTTTCAACTTATTTTTCCATTTAATTTAATTTTTGTTTAAATTCTTCTAAAACCAATTTCTTTACTTTTTCAATAACTTCCATAGTTTATATTTAAGTTGTTGAATTGAATTTAGCAATATCATCTTTAATTTTATTACATTATTATGATTACACTTATATATGATCATCTAATTTTCTATTTTCATCCATCATTTAATCACATTTTTAACCCCAATCATTATCAATTTCTCTTAAATTAAAAAAATGACCTCTTTATTATTCAGTTAATTCTTCTTATTACTTTTTCTCAAGATCTCTAATATTCTTTTCTGTTTATTATTATCTTTCTTCTAAAGCTTTTGTTGTAAATGACCTTTGCTATTAAATTTATTTAATATTATTGTCCCACTTTTAAATTTCATTTTTTAATATATTTTTATGATTCTATAACTCACCAGCATTTCTTTCTAATTAATCTTATTTTTCTTAATTTCCTAATAGCTTTTATCTCCATTATAAAGTCTTCTCTTCATATTCCTCCTTTAATTATAAACCTAAAGCTCTTTCTCTTTCAATCAACTTTTCTAAATGTTTAGCAACAGCTCTTCTTTCCTCCTCTAAATGTTGTGCCATTTCCTTAAGTGGTTATCTCTATCCTGGTTAGTATCTTCCTTAACTTCTACCTGGATCTTGCATTCCAGCCATATTTACATTTTCTTTATTCTATTTAAGTACTGAATTCAATTCTCTTATTGAATCTTCTATTGCTCCATTCCCTTAAATTTCAATGGATAATATATAACCATTGGCTGCAACAGCTGGAATCAAAAGTCTTACACCTTGATTACCTAATTCATTCCATCTGAGATCCAAAGTTCTCAATTAAGGATTATTTCTAATAATATTTGCTAGTAATCCTGCACATGTTGTATTCAACCTATTATTTTATAAATCAATATGAGTAATAGATTTATTTATAGACATAACTTAATAAAGTAATTCAAGTGCTTTTAAATTATTATTTGCACAAATTTAATTCCATTAAAGAGTTAAAGTTCTTAAAGACTCTTATTAAATATAAACGATTTACAATATTGGTTTTAAGTGCTTAGAATATATCTATAAATCCATTAGAACCAATATTATTTCCTTTGAGATCCAAGATACCAATATTTGGATAATTTTTTATTGTATCAGCAACTAATTTTGCTCCCATATCCCCAATATACATATCATTTAATGTTATTCTACCTGTGGGACATTATCTTTAGAGTATAGGTACAAGTGTAGAAATTGAAGAATCTTAATTATTTCTATTCATTTGAATTTTAAATCGCTATAATTATTAACATAATTTATGTTCTTTCAAGAAATCTATGCTTTTTATTTATAAATATTTATTTAAAGAAACTTATAGTTAATATAGAAATTTTAGAAAAGTTATATAAATAGGTGGTTTGAATATATAATTATTGAATAATATAGTTTTATATATTAAGTATATATGATAATAATATCTAATTATAGATCAAAATGAGTTTTTTCTCTTTTTATGATTTGAAAATCTCTTGGATTTTGGAAGATCTGGTTTGTCTAGTTTTTACTTATGTTTAAAACTAGTTTAAAAGTTTTTGATTTCTTTTTTATTATCCTTAGAATATATATGCACTGTATTAAGACTTTCATCAAAGGATACTTTTCTAAAATCATTGTTAGAATAAAATCTTTTTCTATCTTAAGTTTAATTATGTAAAGTGATTGGAATATGATTAGTCTTTAGAATAGATTAAGATTTCTAATCTTCCCATTCAGTAATTGGATCATTTTATCTATTTAATTGATTGTTATTTTCTATTTAACTATCAATACTAAGTATTAATTCTTAATTTGTTTGATTGTTTAGCATTATATAGATGGTCTTTAAAATTTTAGATGTTTGTTAAAATTATATAGAAATATAGTATTAATAATTTGATAATTATGTATGAATAAAATAAAATACTGAGAAATCAAGATCATGACTTAATAGTAATAAAATCACCAAATTCCTCAAGAACTAATTTACAATATTAATAATATTGATGTAAGGATTACTTAATTAAGTGATCAGCTATTGGTTAATGTAGTGGTGATTAATCAATAATCTTCCATCCATCTATTTACAATAATTTCTAAACTTTTTTATTTTAAAAGTATTCCTCTATTTTCACTTTCTCTTTTAAGGATTATTTGGATTGTACTTCATTCATAATTTATTATAATTTTAAATATTTATCCTTTTTCTTTAATTTTTTATTATATAAACTACAAGAATCTTATTCAGTACTTGGTGTATTAATATGAATAATAGGCATTTTTTATTATTTACGTGTAGTTTTCTTTTCAACCTTCTTTCTTTATAATCCAAATTACAATAATTATATATGAAATTGTTCATTTAATTTTTTGTCATTTTCTTTAATATCTGATCTGGCTTCTCCTAAACATTTTCCTGTCATTTCACATAATTGAATATAAGTGTCAATATTTCTAAGTCTATTAAGTACCATAAATTCAGCTATATCTTAATGACTTTTAGGAACAAGAGATTATGTTAAATGATGTTATTGAAGTTATTGAATGAGTAAATTGATTTATTTAGCTATGACATCTTTTTACTTTAATTCTTCTAAATATGAGTGCATTTAATTTAATTAATGATTACTCTCTTAAGTGGAATATTTTTGATGGTCATCTAAGTGATGGCTAAAAAATAGAAGGATTTCTTATTTGATTTAAAGGAGGGTAAGTCAATATCAGTAGACCTCTCCACTAAATAAGATAAGGATTATTTAATATTATAATGCTCGTCCTTAAGATGATGATAAGAATAATGATTTAGGAGAAATTCAATTGAAAACTGTAGATGACACACATAAAATAGAAGGCTTTTATGAAAACGCAATATTTAATTCCAAAACAAATGAAATCAATTTAAAATGTATCACATCTCCATGTAAAGGAAGAATAACATTAGTAAATAGTAATGTAATCTAATTATCAACTTAACTATAAGAATTGAGTTTGACACTAAAATAACCAGCTTTGATTGTATAAATAGATCTTCCAAGTTAATTTGATAGATTGGTGGGAGAATTTAAATTATTGGATGATGAATCAGACAAAATAAAAATAGAAGTATTTGATGATAGAGCTAAATTATATGGAGATGAAGTTTAATTATTAGTAGCATTAAGTAGTAAGGATTGTGAAAAATGCAAAGTATTAGTTGTATTAAGTGGAGATTTAAATTTAAAATAAGAGACTATTATTAGTTCTTAATTGTATTTATATAGAGAAATTCAAGATATTGAGATTAATTAGGAGATATAAGATTATCTTTTTGAGAGAAATTAGAATGAATATAGAATTAAATTACCATCTTCATATAATATAATATAAATTGGTATTCTTAGTGATTTATTACCTCTCATTAGAGTAACTAATAATCAAGATATTGAGATCTTTAATTCATAAGTACCTATTTAAATTTAATAAAAAGGATAAACTTATCATATCCATTTAAGAAAAAACAGAAATTAATAATAATAATGAATTTATTATTAAATTAAATAAAGGAGGACCTTTAAAATATTTATTAGTTGTTAAAATTTTAGATGAACCTATTCTTTATAATAATTAAATTATTCTTGCAACCATTTTAGAAAAAGAATCTCATATTTATTCATTTAAAACAAGTTATAATGATTAAGAAATTGGTGTATTTTTAAAATATTTTGAAATAGGAATGAATTCTTTAAAAGTAGGAGAATGCCATGGAATTTGCACTACAAATACAGAAGATACACATAATCTAAGATTTCATTAACATGAACAAAATCCAAGTGTTTATGTGACACCAGAATGTGCTAGTAAGGATTAATAAGGATTTGCAGATTTTAAATATAAATTATTAATGAAATTAAAAATACTTATATTTTATCTACAGCAAGTTAAATAAATCATAATATTATCAAATCAGATATATCATATAGTAATTATTTAGATAAGTAATAATAAGAAAATTTAATTATTAAATATTAACATCAAATTGAAGATGTGGAATTAATATTTACAGTTAATACACATAATATTATATATATGATTAGTAAAGATAGTAGTTGTTATCCTGTAAGATAAGAATGTGCCAAATATATTGGTGGTTCTGATCATTTAGTTATACTCAGAGGAGATTAATTAAAGCATACTTAATTTTATGTAACTCTGACTGCAAGAGAAACTACATTCTATTAATTTTAGATTAAAGTATAAAAATAATCAGATATAGATCTTAAAATAATTAAAGAAGATGAAACTTATCGGGGAGTCTTATCATTTATTAATGGATAACAAAAAATTCATTATTTTAGAATAATTATTTCTAAATAGTTAGATTAAAATATTGAAGTCATCCAAGATCAGGATTCTTTACCAACTATTGAATTTGCAATACATTCATCAAGAATGTAAGTTGCACTTGTTTTAAGTAAGGGTAATCAACTACCATCTTTAGAATAATATGATTTGATCACTCAAAATAATTATCTATCTATTTCACCTTAAGACAAATATTATATAAATTAAGGAAACTATACTATTGGGATTCTCAATTTTTATGACACAGCAATAGATAAGGAATCATGTATACATTGAATTATTCAACAAGTAGAACAGTTAAAACTTTACATGTTGGTTAATAATTTGTAGATATGGCATATGGAAGGAAGAGTAAATACTATAGTTTTTATTATAGTAAAAATACATCATCATTTAAATTAGTTTGTAAGGTAAGGATGCTCAAAATTTGATATTGAAAGTAACTAATGTAAATCTCATTAAATTCTTAAGGACCCATATATTATAAGAAAGAACATTCTAGTACAATAGGAATATATTTACTTTTTTTATTAATTTTTCTTACTTATAACTTTAAAGTTATAATTAATTTAATATGATAATTATGATATGTACATTGTTATTGGAATAACTTTAATTAAATAAATTATGTTTAGATGGATTAGGAGAAGAATAGAAGGAAGAAGAAGAAGAAGAAGAGGATTAAAATGCAGTATTGTTTTGTTAAAGTTAAGTAATTGTTGAGAATAAGGGATAAGAGAATATTTTATATTAATTGAATATATGGAATCCTGAGTCAAGGATAGAAATGAAGGATGGTCAATAATATTAATTTAATTTAGAATACTTATCAAAACAAACATTTTTATATTATAAAATTATTTCTAATGATACTGAAGTTTAATTAAATATTAATTCACATTATGGTTATACTAGATATTAAATAGAAATTATTGATACTTAAAATTAATAAACTATTTCTTTATATGCAAAAGAGGAATACAAAACATAACATTCTAAAAGTATTTATAAGAGTGCATTTGAATTTTGTAAGAAGAATTGTTTATTAAAAATTTCACTTGAGGCATAGCAATAATAATATAATATTACTCAAATTGGTAGAAGTTTAGATTTTGATGATTTGGTATATGTGACAGTTACTTAAGAATTTATGGATATACAAACAGGAATTCCAATTTAAATACAAGTAAATTAAGATTCTCCTAGAAAATTCATTTATAGTTAATTAAATGAAATATCAACTGAATCAAAAATGAAATTAATTTTACATGAAATTTATGGTAAAGGTACTATTTGTTTATCATTCAATGATGAAAATAATTAAAATTTAGAAATGTGTGAATTCTAAATATTAGGAAATGTATTAGAATTAACATAATAATAAATTTAATAGAAATTAAATGAATTTAAACTTAATCAAAATCCTTATATAATAATAAAAGTATTTTCATTAGTAAGTACTAGTAAATTTTAATTATAATTAGAAATATTTAATGATAAAAATAATCATAAATTAGTTTTAGGAATTCCTACAAGAATTAAAATGAATATTCAAGAGGAATATTTTTATTAATATTTCAATATATAAAGTAATGATGATTTATATTTTAAATTCATAAAAATGTAAGGTTAAACATATATTGAAGTGAGTAGATGTTTAGATGATATTAAAATAGCATGCGAATAAGAAATAATAATAAATGAATAATTATTAGCAGGTCAATCCTATAGTCAACATATTATACATAAATAAGATACAAAAAGATATTGTGAATTATGTACATATAATATAAAGATCAAAACTACTGATATCTCTTTAGATTTATTAGTAGTAATTACATCATAATTAAACTTTGTTCAATTACTTTAGAATATAGCATTTACTGATTTTTTGGATGGTCCAGATGATTATAATATTTATCATTATTCATATGATACAGATCACCAAATAGAAATATAAATCAATTAATATAATTGTGATACCTAAATGTGGATTGGATATCATGCAGATTTGAATAGTTCAAACTATTTTTATGGACCATATAATACAATTAAATAAATGAAATTAATGAATATTACAGAATTAATTTCTTATTATTAAGCCATCATACCTCCAAGATAACATTTAGAAGAGAATAATAAAGATTATAAAATAACTTCATAAATTAATGGAAATCAAACTCTTTTAGGTCACTATAATGATGATGATATTTATATTATTGTTAAAAGCAATTAATAAAGACAAACTAATTATTCTATTATTGTTACTTAATCTACAACAGGAAATGGTTAATTATTACAGGATGGAATAATAACATCAGCATATTTGATTAAACTTACACCTTCAATAACATTTTATCATTAATAAAAAAATTAATCATAATAACTATAATTATTTGTCAAAGTAAATCCATATGGAAATATAAATAATTTATCATATGAAAATTATTTCAAAATAGAAGTATCTAATGAAACATAAACAAATAATTTTACTATTATTCATGCTTTCTCAATTCGTAATAATTAATTAACTTATATTCTTCCAGTACTTGAAGGTATGCTTACAATAAAAATACATAGTTTATTAGAGATTACTACTAATGAATTCAATCATGTAGAATATTCTTTCAATCCAAGAGGAGATATTATACCTATTCCTAAATAACCATAATTTAGACTTTATTATTTTTCAAATAATTATTTAAATAGAATAGATTTATAGATAAGCATTGTTGGTTAGGATGTATTTATGATAAATCAGAATTCTAATCAAATAGATTAGATAGTTGATTACAGACCAAAATATAATGAATCATATATTCAAGGAGATGGTAAATTAGAAATTCAAGTTTATAATTGTCTTGGAGATTTGAATGTTTCTATAACTTAAGATTATGATTAATTTTTAAAGAATTCATATAATGGAATTAAGAATACTTTGGAATGATAATTGACTGACATTTTATTAACAGTAAAACCTGGTCTAATTTATTATGAATTTTAATCCAATAAAAGTGTTTATAAGTTTACTACTAAATTGTATAATTAATTTGATAAAATTCCATATAGTTAATTGATTTTGGGAGGAGATGGATAAATCAATTATTTATTTGGTACAACTGATACAGATATAATTAGTATTAAATTTAAACCAATAAAATGTGCAGTATGTGATATTTAATAAGAACATAATAGTATTATTAAATATTATGTAAATTGGGGTAGTAGTGTTGAATATTCTCATATCATAGGACTATGTCAATATCATTAATATAATAATATAAATAAATTATAAGTAGAACATTTTGATTAAAAAGATGTAGGTAATTATTATTTGAATTAAACTGAAGAAATAATTGTAAATATTACAGTAGATAAATAATCATTACATAATTAATTATATATTTCTGTTAGAGCTTCTATCTTATAATTCAATAATATTCCTATAGGTGATTATGAATTATATTATCATATTGCAGAAGTAGGATTACCTATGAATGCTTTCTATATGTATAAAAATCGTTTTTATGAATTCTTAATTGCTTTATCTATTTTAGTAGTATTTACATTCAGCATGTATTATATTAAGATATATATTTATTAGGCTTTGTTGTTTATGTTCTTTTTATAGAAAAGCTCTTAAATTAAAATAAGAGAATCTGAATATGTAATTAGAATAGAGAATGGAAAGTGCAAAAGAGAAAGTATAAATAGAAGTTTAAATGGGATATGATTAATTTTAAGATGAGAATAATGAAAAGTCAAATTAATGATCATAAATATATATATATATTTATCATACACCAACACTAGGCGAAACATCATAATAGTAATTATAATCTTCGCTTAAATGAAATTATAAACGTGGTACTTACAATTATTCTAGTAATTACTCATCAATGTAATCATATTGATTTGAGTCAGCTAATATATAATAATGTATAAATAAATACTGAATTATTGATCAATCATTCTGCAATTTTCTTGGTATCTAATTGCATAATCTTTTTATCCAGAACTTAAGGCATTTAATATTTTTTTAATTAATATGCGTTTAATAAAAATCATCACTTTTGGAAACCATTTCAAGTGATCCTATTCCAAATTATTAAGAATTTAATAGGGATTCATTAAAAACCTCTCTACATATTCCAACATATACAATCCACAGTCTACTAGATTTGTCTATCTTGGTACTATAGGCTAATGAACAGGGACAGTTGATCTCATTACAATCTCATAGATCTAATCATCACTATATCTTTTGTGTTCAAGATTATATACATGCATTAAATAAAATTTAATTTGAATTCCAATCCTTTAATCCTATATAAGAAGTGAATCAAAATAGATTAAATACCCATTCTTATTCACATCAGTACTCAATTAATAGTTATTATTACACAATTATTCGCAAACTTGTAATGGATTAACTACAAATATCACAGCCCAATGTTCACGTAAATGTAGAGGAAATAATATATATTATTTCATAAAGATGTTATCTTTAGTCCATCTTTATAACATTTAATTGTTCTATAAATATTGTGTATAAATTTATTTGTATTCTGCATGAAATGATAACAGTCTAGTACAAAAATAAGTGTTGTAAATAAATAGAGATTTATTTTTGAAGATATCATTCTCAATAAATCTTAAGAAAAAGTTTATTATAGTATCATTAACATAATTCTGAGGATTTAATTTTAAGAAATCATAATACTTTATGTCAATACTTACTTATTTTCTTTAACTCATAAATTAATATGTGCATTTGAAATCCTCTTTTACTTTCTCATCATATGCATGATGTTTTGATTATAAGTCTAATTCATTTATTAATTCTAAATAAGCTTGTTATTACATTTCCTATATTATTAATAATATATATCTTACTTTCTACTTTTAAATCTTTTCTTTTAATTGATGCTTAACAATTTAATCTAATTCACTCTCTTCTTAAGTTACTACATCACATTCATATGTCATAGTAGGCTTTAAATTCATTAGCCATTTTGGTGAAACTAATTATGGTGCTGCTATTATCTCAATATCATGTTCTTTTTTTTATTATTGTGTAATCGTTTAAATAATTTGCATTTCTTTTGTTGATTATTATATTTCTAGTTTTTCCAATTAATTCAATAATTCTAGATGTTCTAATCTCTTATTTTGTATTAGTTACTCCATCTTGTTTTATTATTATTTCTTTTTTGGTTTTATCATTTAATTTATATTATAAAAAAGGTGGATTTAATTAACCAAACAAATTACATGATAAAAATATATTATATAATATTATTCTCATATAAGTTGTTCATTATCTTATCAATAATACATTAAATATTCTAAATAATTATAGATAATTTTAATATATTCATCTATTCATTTTTAATTTAAATTAATTTAATCAAAATAATAGCATCTTTTTTATTACAATATTTTAAAAATAATTAGATTATTATTTTATTTGTTATTTCTTTTAAACTTCATAATTTTAATCATTATTTTATAAATAATTTAATTTCTTTTTATTAGTTCATAGATCATTTATAAATATAATTATTCATTCAATATTATTTAGTTATAAATAATTAATGTATTTATATATTCATTTTTCTATAAATACATATTATTTTTTCAATTTATCCATGTCTTTTTCTAATTAAATCAATTCTTTTTCATATTACTCCTTTCTTCTTTTTAATCCAACAGTATCAAACTTTTTTAAATGAGTATATTATTAATATTGTTTATTAACTTCATCATATCTTTATTTTAAACCTTCTCTAATTTATTTTAATTCTTCTTCTTATAATAATTATCTAATTTATATTAAATATTTACAATTTATCATTTTATTCTTCCAATTATCGCTTAACATTTTCCTATTCTTCTAAATAAGATTATTAAATTTAATCTTTAATTTGACTCAAATATAATGGTATTTAACCATAATCTTTTTTAGTTAACCAATTCAATTCTTATTATTGTTATTTTGGAGCTAAAAATAATGTTATAAATTACATTTTAGAATAACATCAATCTTATTTGTAGCAATGAAATTTCTATTAGATTATAATCCCATAGTAGGTTTTTCAATAGATCTAGGAACTAGAGGTTTCAATTTATTTCTATGAGAATGTGGTATTTCTCTACTTCTTGAAAGATATCCCTTTTCTATCCATTCTTCTAAATTGTTTGTACCCATAATTCTTGGTTTAATAGGTGAAAGATGTTCTAAATAATAGAATTTGATTATAAACATGTTTTTGGTTTTCCTATAGTTCCACTCTCAGATGCATATCTTTAAGATAATAATTAGTAATCACCACTTATATTTTTAATCTTAAGTATATATACTTATGAATATACCTAAATAACATTTGAATGATTAGCAAATGTACTATAAGATGGTTATATTGTACCTGGGAATTTGGATTTATATTTTTTTTATCTCTTAGATGGAAGTGGATCTTCTATTATTATATTATAGATGCTTTCTTCCATTAAATAATTAATTATATTTCACAAATCATATTTTTCTTCTCTTTTTCTCCTTGATTCTTTAATCTCATAATTCCTCATCATTTCATCCAATTATGGATCAATCTTTCCATTATGATAGATATTACTACATGGTTTATTATCTGGCCATGACACAACATCATAATGTACATTATTATCTACTCTATTTTCTAGCCAACTAAAAATAATCTAATTTATATATATATACTCTTAAAATTTATCAGATAGTAATCCTCCTTTCATCATAGGAATTTAGAATTTTGGATGATTCCATGATTCAGTCCATATAACTAATTCATTAAAAACACAACTTATTGCCCATAATCCCCAATCTGGTTTTGATTTCATTAAATCTTTTAATTATTATAAAATATTTAATCTAATCTTTTCTATCTATTTCTTTTCTTTAGGAGTACATTTATCTAAATGTATTTTACCTATACATTCAAAACCATCACAAATTTCTAATTACCACCAATCATATTGAGAATGTACTATAAATGTTGGAATATCAACTTTTCTTAGAGCATCAAAAGAGAAGATATCATTCATTGTTATACCTGCTCTCTTTGTTGCTTCAGTATATGCATCAATAATATCTTTATTTCTTGAAATATCAAATATAACACTATCAAGAAGTATTCTTATTTCAACCTCTTCTTCTTAATATAAATCTTTTATAACTCTTCTTAATTCATTATATTTATTTACTAAATACCATCCTCCTACACCAGATCCTGCTAATATGATTCTTTTAGGAATTAACTTCATTTATAATAATGCTCCTTTAAAAACTTAAGGATTCATTTGTTAATACCACATATTGCCATCACAATACATTAAGAACATTTTATATGCTTTTCTAAGATGCACATTCTAATATTTATTATTTCCCATTAAACCTTAATTTGCATTAAATTCTTCTGGATATCCATTACTGGTGCCATAAAATGTTGTATTTCTATAAGTACAATTATCAATATATGCATAATCACCATATTTTAGAAATTTTGTACTATCTTCAATACAGATACCTCCAGAATAAAAATACATAATTAAATCATCAGTGCTTCCTTCAAAAACATATGCAGCTGCTTATGTTCCATCCATACAATATGAATCCTATAAATAAGTTCTATGTAATGGATGTGCCAAAGATCCCTCATCATCAGGTGGAGGTCTTAAAAAGTCATTATCATCAAAAGATTCTTCTTCTCCTTATGCTATTAATAGATATATTAATGATGAAAAATAAAAAAAGAACATTCCTAATTTATATTATTTAATACAGTAAATTATTTAAAATCTAAATTCCATGATTAAGGATGACGTATCAGTAATAGTTCCAACTCTTAAAGAACTCAAAGCAAATTTCCTTACTAAAAAGTCTAGACCAATTACTTTTAGACTTTAACAATTACATAATCTACTCAATGGTCTTAAGGAATTAAGAAATGAATTTTATGAAGCTTTTAAGAAAGTATATATATTTTTCATCATCCTATAGGATCTTGGATATTAAGATTAATTCTTTTGTGAATTAGTATAATATTAAGCAGTTCTAACTCATATTGAAAGTGACATTAACAATATATACAAATATACAGCCAAAAGATCCATTAGCACATCTATAATGGCTGCTCCAGCAACAAGCTATTTAATACCAGAACCATATGGTGTAGTTTTAGTTATAGGAGCTTGGAATTATCCAATATTCACTTGTATACCTTAAGTAGCTTAAGCAATTGGTGCAGGAAATGCTGTTGTTTTAAAACCTTCTGAAATGGTTCCTCATCTTTCTAATGTCTTAGCAAAATTGATAACAAATTATTTAGATTAATCTCTATATCGTGTTATAGAAGGAGGAGTTAATGTTGCAATTAATATTACTAAATAACCTTTTGATCTTATTATTTTTACTGGAGGAACTGAAAAAGGGAAACTTGTAGCTAAAGCTGCAGCTGAAAATTTGGTGCCTTGTATCTTAGAATTAGGTGGTAAAGGACCTTGTATTATTGATTCTTCAAGTGACTTAGCCTTAGCTGGAAGAAGAGTAATTTCTACAAAATTATATAATTGTGGTTAAACATGTGTAGCTCCAGATTATTTATTAGTTGAAGAATCTATATTAGATAATGTTGTTAATACATTTAAATAATAAATAAAAGACTTTTATGGACCAGAAACTAAGAAATCTGAATGTCTTAATAGAATAGTTAATGAATTTCATACTAATAGAATTGTTGAATATTTAAATAATCATGGAGGTAAGATAGTTCATGGTGGTTAATATGATTTAAAAGAAAAATGGATTGAACCAACATTTGTTATTAATCCTGATCCTAATAGTGAATTAATGAAAAATGAGATATTTGGACCAATACTTCCTATAATTACTTATAAGAAGATTGAAGAAGCTATTAATTTTATCAATTTTAGACCTAAACCATTGGCTCTCTATTATTTTGGTACAAATAAAGTTCATAAAAATGCTATTCTTGAATCTACATCATCAGGAGGTGTTTGTATTAATGATTGTATCTTTCATTTAATTAATCATGAATTGCCATTTGGAGGAGTAGGTGATAGTGGTTATGGAGTTTGTGGTAGTAAATTTGGATTTGATTAATGTTAACATCTAAAACCTGTTCTTGAAAAATCAACAATTGATCCATCAGCAAGGTATTAAATATTTATTTTATTTATTAGATATCCACCATACACAAACAGTAAAAAAACTTAAATGACCTTTTTGACTAGTTTAGGAATCTACTCATAATAGGAAATTTTGAATAAACTATTATTATTTCTCTTTATTTTGTGTGCATTCATATATGTAACATGTTGTTGTGGTTGTTCTAAAAATTAGCTTTAAAATGATTTATGATATCATTATTTTTAAGAAACATTTAATAATAAATAGATATATATAAATGTATATTATTTTATATTCATTTCCATGAATTTCTAATGAATTTCTCAAAAGTTACTTCACTTTCTATAAGAGCACTAATATCAGTTAAATAATCAATAAATTATTATTAAGTAACAGTTTAAACATCTTTCCATATATCATTAAAATCTTTAGTAGCATCAGCTACAGTTTTGATACCTAAAGTTACATCTTAACACTTAGTAGCATCATACAATTCTATAAATATTCTTTATGTATAATTTACATTTAAATTATTAAATTGATATTGATTATTGTCCATTTGATATTCTATTCCAAAATTAATTTACAAGATCTAATCTAAATTAAGTAAGTGGTTCTTTATATTAATATAGATAAAATACTTCTTAAGAAACTAATAAATTCAACAAATGAGACTTCATCATCACAATTTTTATCAAAATATCTAAATAGATTGTCATATTCTGTTTTAGTAAGTAAAAATCCAGACTCTTTCATAGCCCATTAAAATTCTTATCTATTTAATGTTCCATTTTTATTTTTGTCTGAATTAGCAAAAATAGTAGCCATTCTAATTACAGAATGTTAACCTTTCTTAATTAAATCATTTCTAATTCTATTTAATGTTTCTTAAGGTGGAGCTCTAGCAATTTGAAATACTGGATTAACATTTGCATTATTTCCAGATCCCATTAAAGCAATCAATCCACAAATTTCATCATAACATAGTCTTCCACTTTTATCAGAATCATATTTATTAAATAATGCTTGAATTTCTTTATCACTAAAAACACAACCAAACTTTTAAAGTGCTTATGCAAATTAATAGATATCAATAGTCCCTTTATTTTCTAAATCAAAATACATAAATGCCTTCTTGGCTGTCTTACCTTCATCATCCTTTGTAACTGTTTTCTATCTAATTTTTTCAAATAATATAATTTCTAATTATGCAAGTCTTTCTGGAGAAACATAATCAGCACCTGAAGTAACTCCCCAAGTAGAAGTCAATAACTATAAATAATATAATAAAGAATACATCTGTAAAATATTCTTCTTTTTCACTGGGTAGAGTTGCATTACAATCAGCATAATAATTAAGGAATTCATCTTCACTTATACTTTGACAATCTTTGCTTCTTTTTGATATAGCATTGACAAACTCTTTTGTAACTTAATCTGCAGTCTTTTATCTAGTTCTTACTCTTGGATGATTTTTTGCTTAATAAAGTCTATATAAGTTTTCTAATAAGAGTCTTCCTTGTCTTTATTAATCAAGAAATGCAAAAGTGCTTCTGACAACATTGATTCTTCTTTCGCTCATATTTTCTCTTATAAGATTGACAAATTCAGCATAAGCTATATTTCCATCTTTATTTGAATCATATTTATCATAGACTGCTCTCAATTCTTATGTTGTAAGAAAGACACCAATTTTAGATAGAAATTTTTAGAATTCATCTTTATCCAAATAACCTAAATTAGATATTTTATGATACCAGAATTATCTTTATCAAATTCTGACATTAATTAATATACACCTTCCAAATCATCTATTTTACGAGCATGTAATTAGCCTCTTATTTTATTTTGAATCAATTCTAATTTATTTCTCCAATCCATCAGTTATTTTTTATATTATTAATATCATATTTTGATTAACATCTATAGTTTTTATATGATTCAATAATAATCAAAGAAATACATTAAAATTTAGAATAAAATATGAAGAATTATAAGTTTAATAATGAAAAGTAAATTTAATTACATGAATTGAATATTGAATCACAAAAGAATAGAGTATTTTTTAATTTCATAATTAGAAATAGTCATCTAGTTGTAAATCAGCAGTTTGATTATCTGATGAGAAAGATTCGAGTTAAATATTAGAAACAACTTTTTGTGACTTTTTTTATGTCTCAAAATAATGTTATCTTACATGTGTCATCCATTATCTCACTTATGGATCTAATTGGGCTATAAAAAATAATAAATTATTAATACCTTTCCAATCTTAATTAAATGTGCTATAAATCTTAGCTTCTTATGCAGTAGCTAAATTTTTCAATTATTATAGTAATAATTCATGATTAGAGTTGTCATAGTATATTTCATTCTGATTTGAATCATCATAGGGTATATCATCAAAAATCATAATTTTTAATTGTTCTAATTTGTTTTTCTTAACATCCCATAAAATCTAATTACTTCTGTTAGTTCACTAATAAAATATTTATATTAATTTAGTAGTTTATTAAATATTTTCATTAATAATAGGTACAGTTCATATGTTAATAAAATTTTCGTATTTAAATTTAACTCTTAAATCTATTATATTATTATTCATTCACTTTTTTATAGACTGAATATAGTTATTTATTAATTAAGAAGTATTTCTTTCTTAAATCTTAGATTTAATTGAGAATTCTAAAAATTCATTATTCTAGATTACACTTATATTTAAATTAAGATTGATATATAATTTTTGTATTAGAGTAGACATTTCCTAAGCAATTACAATATTGCATTAATTAAATAATTAATTATAAAATCTAAATTTTGCAAATCCTTTATTTGTATATTAATTATTATTAGTAAATGAAAGCAGTTAAGATGTGCTTAAAGGAATTCTTTCTATAGAATTAGATCTAAGAACTATATAAAAATGAAAATTCTTTAAATAGTCTTACTCTCTAATTTATCTAGTCAGAATTGGAATAATGTTATTAAAATCGATAAATGGCTAAAGTTATTGTCTAATTTAGGATTACTATAGTGTTGCAAATACTAATAAATTTAGTTTACATTATCAATACTTGTTTGATATACTAATCTCTTGAGATAGTGAAATATAGATCACTATATATAGTTTGGATGTTAATCTCTCTTGTATTATAAAAGATTTCTAAGAGATATTGGAATGCCTTAATTAATATACTAATTCTCATTAATAGTGTATTGAATGTGTTGCTCTATGCTTATTTTATGAAATTTGTTATCAAGACTCAAGATAAGATTGAAGATGTATTAAGTATTTCATTGATTTCTGGTTTATAATAAGGATTGTTTGCTATAGCCTTTTTTTTAATATAGTCTAACTATTTGATGTAAAGCTTGACCATCACTAGTTACTTTCTTACATTGATGGGAATATTTGAATAATTTTAAAATAATCGATTATGGTCTCAATACATATTATTATTGTTTACATGTTATTTATTAAGATAGAATGAAAAAACAAGCAGACTTAATTATTTATTGATTCATAAAACATAAACAAATTTAGAAGCATGTAAAAAATTATTTGATGAAACAGTTCCCACATCAATTATAATATTAGAAGAAATTTCAATATAAGATTATTAATAGAATGATTTATTGAATTCACCATCAAGTTAAAGAGAATAATTACATACTTAAGAAAATAAATCAATGAATGTTACTTATTTTAACAAAAGTGCTTCTATTCATTTTGAAACTGATAATGAAGATATTATGACAGAAAGACTATAATAAATAGATATTATTAATATAGACAATTCCATTTTAGATAAAGAAAAAACCAAATTTTTTGAAAAAATATTAGACTTATAATCTAAAATTTAAACAGAAATTTAATTAAATACTTATCATTCGTTTGATTATTAACTTATATCCTTACATCATAAAATGTAATGTTCAAGAGTAAAAATCTATATTATAATTATTAGTAAACTAAATAAGATAAACTATAATTTTATGATGCTCTTGCATAAGGTTGTTTATGGGATGGAAAATAATGTATCATGTTAATTTTAAATGATGCCACTGATCGTGAATTAAGATTATAACATCTAAAAGAATTAGATAATTATAAAGATAATCTTTTAGCTGCTGTATCACATGATTTAAAGACACCTTTACATGTTTAAACACTCTTAACTAATGTAATTAAAAATACTTTAGAAAATAAAGAATAAATCTATAAAACAGAAATTTAAGGTATTAATTTCTTAATCTAAATTTAGAAATCATTAATCATCTAGAAGATATGTTAGCAAATCAGTAAATTTTATCTACAATGATCAATGATCTTATTGATTATTCATAAATGAAAACATAAGGATTAAGATTAAATTTATCCTATTTTTCATTATCCTTATGTATATAATAAATTAGATAAATGTTTAAAACTCAAATAGAATTAAAAAACTTATAATTTATTATTACTGAACCTAATGACAATCTTATTTTATTTTCAGATCAAACTAGATTACAATAAATACTTTTTAATCTAATCTCAAATGCAATTAAATTTACATTTTATGGAAAAATAACCCTAAATATTTAAATTATATATGCATATGATACAAAATTAATTCAATTTACTGTATAAGATACAGGTCTAGGTATACCTATTTAAATTCAAAATTAATTATTTAAGGCTTATTCAACATTTAATTTAGGAAATCATAACTAAAAAGGAGTTGGATTAGGTTTAGTAATATCAAGAAATCTTGTTGGTTTATTAGGACCAAAACCATAAATTGAATTAATTTCTAAAGAAAATTAAGGATCATCATTCACATTTTAAATATATGTTAATATGCAAGAAAAAAAACTTGAACCTTAAAATTCTAGTTATGAACAAGAATTTCCAGAAAATGATCCATCACCAATAAAATAAATGCCTAGTTTTTCAATTGTATAATAATAGTAAAGATAAAATTAAAAAGCTAAGACTCTTATAGATTTATCTAAAAATTCTAAATAACTTTTACATATATTAATAGTGGATGACTCAGCATTCAATTTACATGCTCTTAAATTAATTCTATAGAAAAAATTAGTAAAATCCTTTATAGATGAAGCATTAAATGGAAAAGAAGCTGTTGAAAAAGCAAAAAAATAATATTTTGATTTAATTTTTATGGATATTAATATGCCAATAATGAATGGTATTGAAGCAATTCAACATATCAGAAAAATTGATGAAAAATAATAGTATAAATTAAAGAAACCAATTATATGTATTTTATCAGGTGGTAATGATGATTTTGACTAAAAATTAACAAAAAGAATTGGTGCTGATATGCATTTAGAAAAACCATTACAAATGAATGATTTAACATTTCTCTTAGAGAAATATTAATTATTATGATTAAATTTTAACATTATTTATGCTATCATTTTATATTTTCATTTCTTTTTTTACTTTATTATAGTTATATTAATGATAATTAAATAATCAAGTTAGTGTATTTATAAATATCATCTTTTAATTTTCCTAACTTATAGTAAATTACTCATCCAATCATATGATTTCTCATCTTTATCATAAAAACCTTGAAAATATTTAATTTATTCTTTTTAAGAAAATTATTTTGTTTTAAAGGGTGGAATAGGATAATTGAAACATTCCTTTGGACAAATGTCTAATAAAATTTTAGTTTCTTTCATATGAGATTGAGTTCGTTTTGATCTACGTTAATTAGGAGTAGCAGTTCTTATTTGGCTTCTAATTCGAAAAGATGAGTCTAATGTAGATTTTTATGATTAAACTGGTCTAGGATAGTTTTTATAAGGCTTCTCTTCTTTTTCATTCCATCCAGCATAAATATCAAAGGTATTTGATAAGAGAAATTGAGAACTGATTTATTCTAAACATTATTATGCTCTTCTTTCTTAACAAAGTCTTTATGGGGATTCATTAAATTTACATTCATAATTATCAGACGGGTTATCATTTTCATTATTAATAAGCTTTTGCCTTTGTCTTCTCGACATACAAAGTGACCGTTAAACAAATAATATATAATAATAATAGATATTATTTAAAATTGACTTATGCTAAGTTATTTGTAATCTTATAAATGTTTTCTTAAAATTCAACTAAATTTTCAAATATTTTTTGATTGATAAGATGATAATTTGTTAATTATATTAATTAATAAGTGATCTTATTTCTTTAAAAAAATAATTGTTGTCATCAAAAATAAATAGATTTATGTTCATATTAATGTAAGAATTATTGTCAAATCGTTTATATAGGTATATAAAATTAATAATATTTTTTTAATGTTTGAATATTAAATCAAAAAAGTAAGAAGAATTAAACAAAATAATAAAACTAAATAATTTATTCATTATAGAATGTGAGTAAATATATTTAATGATTTATGGACTATTATTCAAAAGTTTATTTAGTTAATTTCATCTTTAAATAATCCAAATGATCCTATTCCATTAATTTATGAAGTATTTAATTATTCTTATGAGGATTTATCAAATCTTAAATTAGACTACATAACTAAAGTACAATTTCTTTATCTATTAATTAGAGATATTGATTTATCTCTTATTGTATTTTAATTCTTAACATTCTACATAAATGGATTTTTGAGAAATGTAGGCATCATGGATTTCTTCAAACTAATATCTTATGCTTATTATACATGGCCATATTATTTAGTTTATAGAAATCTATTTCACTTTCTATCTAATCATCAGAAATAAAGAATTTATGTTTTAATAAACTATTTGCTGACCATCTAAATTCAGGGTTTTTAGATAGCATTTTAATTAAAAGATCTTTTTCGATATCATTTAATTAATCATTACTAAATTTATTAAGATTGATATCACATTTTCTATTAAATTCTAATTATTCCTTTTTATCCTTTTTTTCAAATAAAGGTTCTCCTATTAATCTAAGATTTAAATTAAATATTTACAAAACATATAATATTACACCAGCACTAAATATATCGCATAATACTGTATATTTAGCATAATCAGAATCTTATTCTAAAATTTCTGGAGCAACAAATCCTGGAGTACCACATTTTGGATATGTATATGGATGAGAATCTACTGATTATGCTAATCCAAAATCTGCTATAACTAAGGATTCTAAATCTTTATTCATGAATAATATATTCTCTGGTTTAAGATCTCTATGCATAATATTATGACTATGAATAAACGTTAGGCCTTCAAGTAATTATTTCATTATTATTTTTATATCAGATCTACTGAAAAGTGTTTGACGCTTTTTCATTAATGATAACAATGATCCTCCTTTAGCTAATTCCATTACTAAATAGTAATTTTAATTCCCTATATAAAGTTCATGTAATTATAGAATATTTTAATGTTTTATTTCTGATAGAATACGCATAGTTTCTATTTCTTAAAGTAATTATTTATATCCATTTTTTTTCTCATTGATACGTTATTAATCAATGCATTTGGCTGCATACTATTTTTAAGTGTATAAATTTGTTAATTCCAGAACTGTTGCATATGATCCCTTCCCTAAAATTGACTCAGCTTGATATTCATCTTATATTTTGACCTAAAATACATAAAGAGCACATTTTTGTTTTAGTTCTCTAAGTTATTCATTAGTACCAAAATATTCAAATTGCTCTCCACCTACTTAAAATATTACTGATTTTAATTGGTTTTTCTTATAAGACCACTATATTCTCATATCTTAATTGATTTGGAATTATCGTTCAGGAATCTAAACAAAAGGAGACTCAAAATCCTATAATAAACTTTTACCTTTCCTATACAAATTTGATTCTTAAACAAATAAATATACCTTGGACCTCTTCCAATAAATTTTTGTTTGATTAATAAACAATTATATATGCATTTATCATAATCTACTGTCTATAATTTTTTCAATCCTCCTTCATGAACAGTTTGAGATTTTTGTCTCATTTTTATTAATAAATTATTTTAATTCTTATCTAAATCAAATCCTACTCTTAATTTTAATCCCTAATATAATCCCTATAATCCTCATTCATTAGATATTTTCAATTAATACAATCATTTTTGTTTTTTCAATATATTTTTTAAATGAAAAACAAAAATAAATTATCTGAAGAGAGTTCCGTATTTAGAAATGTTCCAACTGCTACTTAAGAATAGAATACAAGAAGAAATAGTTATTCTGTTTCCTCTAATAACACTGTAATCTAATAAATTTTCCATTTCTACACTAAATAATCATACTCTATAGGTGTAAATGCAACATTCGATAGATAATATTAAGAGAGTAATTAATTAAATTTAGCTAAATTCTTTCATTTTTGCAGAGATTTTAACATTAAATACCTTAATAAATAAGAACTCTAAGATCTTTTTAAGAAATGTGCAACTAATGGATAAAACATCAATTTATAATAGTTTGAATAATTATTTAGTTTGTTAGCATTATATCGAGGAATTGATTTGTGTGAATTTTATTAAGAACTTGGTTTTGATGTATGGTTAAAAAATTAAAAGAAAATGAAATTGCTAGGTAAACCATTTTACATGAAAGATGACAGATAAAGATTTACTAAAGATGAACTTCATTATTAATTTAAACTATTCCATCCTGATATTAAAGATGAAAATCTCATTAAAGAAATATTAAGACAAAGAAAATTGAAATCAGAAAATAATAAAAATAATGAAAGACAGAGAAAAAATAAACAAAAGTTGCAATTTGAACTAAAGTTTACTAGCGGGACTGAATTGATTGAAAAATATCCTGAAAAAATTCAATTAATATAATAGCTTTAAAGGAGAAAGGTAACATAACACGTTAGTAACTTTAAACCTTTAACTAAGCTTGCATATAGTCTAAATACACCATAAGAATAAAATTAATAAAAGAAAATTCCTATTGTCACATGGGATGCCCTTAATGCTATTGTACCTAATGATGATTTAATATTAAGTTTGATTGGTCCATATAAAGAAGAAGATTAATATTTAAAATAACTTGAAATAGTAAATAATTAATCAAATAATTAATACTCTACATTCATTTAGAATAATAGTAACCTTTCACAAAATATAAGATCGATGTCTGATTCTAATCCAAATTATAATAGAGATAATAATTAAATTAAATCAGAAAGATAACATTAAGTAAAATTTAATTATCAAGAATCCCCTAGAATAAATTCACATATAAGATACAAATTGTTAGAATAATCTCCAAAATAAATAGATTTATCAAATATATCAAATTAATTTGATAAATCTCCCCAAAAAACAAAATTAAATATCTCAATACTTAAAAGAGCAAATGAAATTTAACAATTAGAAGGCTTAAAATAAAAGTATCTATTAGAAAAAATTTTGAACACATAATTAAAGAAAGAGTAACTCAATAAATCAAATGTAATTCAAATATGATGAGAATTTTTATATTATTAAGTTTTGAATGCTCAACATTAAAACTACTTAAATAAATTAGATTTTTTATTTTTTAATGAATTAAATAAAGATTATTAAAAGTTTTTGAATAATTTAATATATAATTCAATTTTAAATAAGATATCCTTAATAATTAATAGTAAAGTGTGTAAAAATACTTTTTTAAGGATTTCTAATAATTGATAATAAATTGAAGTAATATACTATCCCAAAGTTTAATTGTATTCTGTTTAATTAAATAAAATATTGTAAATGTAAATCACTCAAATAAAGTAATTCTTTAATAGAAATTTTGTTGATTATTTTCTAAAATATAAAAATTAATTAAATTTAGATTAATTGTTCACATATTACATTTTAATTATTAATATTAATTCAAAAAAAATAATATCTTTTTTCTATTGTTTAATATATAATTATTCTTAAATAGCAATCGTACATTTCTATTATGATCATTTTTAGTAGAATTCAATAATTATTTATTTGTTAAAATTCAATTATAAAGAATATTAGAGATGATTGAATGAATTAGATATTTATATACTATAAAATAGATTCATTTTATAGAAATAATCAATTTTTAATTTTTGTATTCATAGTCAGAGAATACTGCTATGATTTTTAAAGTTTCTGAAATATTCATCATTGTGATTTCTAAACTATCAGCAGCTACAATTTTAATTTCTAAATTTATAAGAAATGAATTACCAGTGACTTTAGCAACAAGTCTCATCATTTCTGATATTTCCATAGCCTCAATTACACCACTAAGAATGATAGTTTTTGATAAAGGAACAATTAATTTTGGTCCATTTGGATTATAGTATATCATATATTCATCTGAAATAGTAGTTGGTTGTAACTGTTGTAAAGGGTGATAAAAAATTCGCCACTAAAAGGTTAATATATTTTGATTACTTATTGATCGAAAAATTAAATATTATTTAAATATTCTTTGGCAATTTGAGCAAATTCTATAGTTTAGTATCTGACAAAGACTCTTTGCATTTACTTTTCATATAGAAGTTCTTCGACATTCCCAAATTTGTTAAAAATATTATATAGCATTTTAGCAGTAACTCGATCATCGATAGATGTCACTTTAATAATTTTGGATGGTTTTTGAGTGATCACATTTTAAACATCTTAAGATATTTGTGGTCCTTGTTATTTCTGCTATTTCCATATGTCAATGTCATCATCAGAATCTGAATTCAATAAGTTGTTAATTTCATCATTTCTGGCAGGAGTGAGATTTCTTTAAGAAGTTTATGTAAAAGTACGAGTAAATGATTCAATCTATTATCTAAGCACGTTGGGATCATCAGTATTAGAGTGCTTCATTTACTCTGAATTTGTGCTGCTTGCTTAAGTATAATCTGTTCCTCGAGATTTGTCCACAACTTCTAGATCAAGATTTTTAAGGCGAGAGAAATGGATGGTAAGTCTAAACTTATTTAAATATACTTACTTTCCTTCACCTTCAGCTAAATATTTGCCAAGTTTATCCTTTCTAGCTTCTATGGCATGTTTCACATCATAATATTCAACAAAAGCTTTGTTTGCCTTGCCTCTTTCGAAAATGAGAATTTTTTTGATATCACCATATTTAGCGAATTGCTCAAAAAGAAGATCGTTACAAAGTGGAAAGGTTGGAGATAGTTATGTTATAACAAGAAGCAAAATTTTGCTGGGTGGATCTCTGGAATAATTATTCATAAAATAAATATTTTATGATCGAAACCTATATATTAAGAACTCAAGACTCAGAATTTAACATTAAATAACAATAAACCTAATAAATTATTATAATATTTTATAAAATGAAAAATGTTGCAATTGGATATAGTTTTTGATTATTAATAAGTTTGTTCAATGTTAAAGTGTTAATTAAATATTATGTTTCTTATTAATTCAATAAGCATTAAAAAAGTTATATATATATCCTTTGTGGCAATTAATATAAATATGAGTAATGATTAAATTATAATAATACACTATATAATTAATATCATAAATATATATAAAAATTAATCTACAATTTTTCATCATCACACTTCTTTATCAAAAGCTATGATAAAATTTATGGATTTGCAATCCCTAAAATAAAATACCCTTTAAAAAAGAATGCATTATCAAAATAATTATTAAATTGAAATGAATTAGTCAATAAGTGAATTAGCAGCTTCAAAAATAATACTTAGATCATCAACTATAAGAACATTTTGAGAAGAATTGAAGGAGAAAATCGGATTGAGTAACTTTGAGACAGAGGAGATACTTTTTTATTAAATTGCCAATTTTCCTCAATCAGAAATATGAGTGATAGAAAAGATTTGCATTAGGAGGAACTTATAATTGGTTTTGGCTTGCCATTTAAATATAATAACTAAATCATCAAAATTGAGATACCAGAAACAAAGATTAACAATTAATCAGGAGCAGGAGTAAGTTATCATATTATAAAATGATGGAACTTTAATAAGGATAGTGTACAGGAAGATTAGGCGCAGAAGATTAATTAGAAATAAGTTTGGTTAATTATGTAGAGCAAGTTGGGTAATAAGCTAATAATAGAGCTGACAATATTTCATCCTAAATATTGTAGAGTGTAATTTGAGTAATAATTAAAGGTCTAATAGGAATGAGTTTATCAAAGGCAAAAATAAATAGAGGAATAAAAGTAGATATTAAGAGTAGATTAAAAATTGAGGATTGATTATATTATTAAGTTTGCCATTGTTAGGATAAAAGATGAAACCTTAATGTTAAGGAGAATGAGTATAATAATAATATCTTTATTATGGCGATGTCAAATTGCATATTTAAAATTTGAAAAGAATATATAAAGAAATTTAGTAAATAAATTAATAAAGACATGAGTACGAATATGAGAGGATTGAATACATTCATTACTGACATCCGTCACTGCTCAAATAAGGAATAAGAAGAGAAAAGAGTTGAGAAAGAATTGTAAAAAATCAGAGGCAAATTTACATCTTAAAAAGGATTGGCTGGCTATTAGAAAAAGAAATATGTTTGGAAATTGCTCTATATCTATATTTTAGGTAATAAAAATAAGTATTATTCTTTTATTAGGTTATGAAGTTGACTTTGGATAATAAGAATGTGCTTTCTTAATTAATTCTTCAAAATTTAGTGAGAAATATACAGGATACGTAGCCACTTCAATTCTGGTGAGTGAAAAAACACATGATTTATTTACATAAGTAGCATCTTCCATTAGAAATGATCTACAATCTGTAAATGAAATCAATCAGTCATTGGCCCTAACTATGGTTGGAACACAAGCACCATAGGAATTGGTCAATGCTTTGCATTAGGATGTCTAGAAGTTGGCATTGACAGAATCTAGATCAACATTTCATGTCAGAAAGAAGGCATGTGCTTGTTTACTTAGAATGTATAGAAAATATCAAGATAAATTCCAACCATCATAATGGGCTTAAGGAATTTCATAAATGTTTGAATCCAGGTATTTTATACAACTTATTCTTAGACACCCTTCATTAGGATTTATGACTGCTGCTACTTCATTATTAGTAGGAACATGTTAGTTAGACAACCCATCAATATTTGAAGATTGTACACCTAAATTAATTAAATTGCTTCATAAAATTGCAATTTAAAAAGATAGTCCTGGAGATTACAATTATTATGCTACACCTGCTCCATGGTTGTAGGTTAAGATTTTGAAGGCTCTTTCATTCTTCTCACCACCTCCTCCTTCAACTGATTCTCATCGTTAATTGACAGAATGCTTGACAAAAATTATCAAAAAAACAGAAGTCACAAAAAGCATTAATAAAAATAACGTAGATCATGGTATTTTATTTGAAGCTGCAAATCTTGTTATTACATATAATGGTGCAGTAGGAATGGAATTGAAAAATGATATTTTGAAATTACTTGGAATCTTCATATCAGTTAAAGAACCCAATCTAAGATATTTAGGATTAGAAACAATGTGCAAATTTGTTAAACTTGCAGGAGATTCACTTGAAGATCATTTAAATACTATTTTTAAATCATTAAGAGATAATGATATATCTATTAGAAAAAGAGCTTTAGATTTATTATATTTAATAAGTAGTCCTAATACTAGTTAAAGAATAGTAGAAGAATTATTAAGTTATGCTGAAAATGGAGCAGATTTATAAATTAAAGATGATTTAATATTAAAAATAGCTATTTTATCTGAAAAATTTGCTGATAATTTATATTGGTATATAGATGTTGTTGTTAGAATGATAAATTCATCAGGAGATTTTGTAACTGAAGATATTTGGTTTAGAATCATTTAAATTATAGTAGGATTTTAAAAAGAAGGCAATATAGAATTATAAAAATATGCAGCAACTAAATTGTTTTCATAATTATCCATGCCTCATGTTCATGAAACTTTAATTTGTATTGGAGCATTTATTATTAGTGAATATTCTTAAATGCTAGTTGAATAAAACAAAGAACCTTAAAAACTATTTGATATTCTCAATAAACATTATACATTTAGTACTGAAAGAAGTAGATAAATGTTATTAAATGCCTTTGTAAAGTTAGCATGCAAATATCCAGAACTAAAAGATCAAGCAATAATGATATGTTAAATTGCTGGAGAACATTTTGACCCAGATATTTAATAAAGAGGGATTGAGTATTTCTCTTTATTAATGGAAGATGATAAACTCTTAAATTAAATAGTTGTTAAAATGCCTCCTTATTCAGAATAAGTTCAATAAAATAACCCCCTCACTAAAAGAATATATGTTATGGTTTTAAATTCAAAGGAATAAAAGGATCCAACTTTATTAAATTAGGCCAGAATTTAAGCTAGTCAGGAAATAGCTATGGCTGAATAAAGATTATAAAACAAACCTGAATAACTTTAAAAACATCTCAGTTGGTTGAAAGCATGTCCATATTTGAATTAATTTTAAGGGTAAATAGCTCTTGAAGGAATTAATATTATGGTTCCTCCTTCTCCAGAAGATAATAATTTAAAGTCTCCTTCTATTAGCAATTTAAATGAAATTAAAGTGTTATTAACTACATAAGTTGGAAAAGTAGTTGATAAACCTGGAGAATTAGTAGTATAATATAAATCTGAGATAAGTGGACATCTAGGAAAAGTATTCAAAATAACAATATATTTAGGTCTCTTTCTAATTTGAAGGAACATCTCCAATTTAAAATCTATCTATACTTGTTTCACAAACTAATGGTATGTTGTTCAACATTTTGCCAGTAAAGCAAGGTGACTTTCCTTAAGTCATGATGCAAGTTTTAAGTTATGATGGAAATATGACTTTACCTATTGCATCTATTTTTTATGAATAAAATGGATAACAAAAGAAACATGAATTCCATCTACCTATATATACTAATAAATTTGTTTAACCTGTTGATATGCCATATGATAAATTCACTAAATTCTTTGACGATTTTACGTATATACTTTATAATAATAATTAGAAACAATCTTAGCAATTAAAATTATTTTAAATTAGATACTTTTATAAGAAATACTGCTCCATCCAATATCCCAATGACTGAAGTACTCAAAAAGGCTGGAGGACTACTTTCTGTTGGATTGAATTTGAAAGCGTAATCTACTTAATATACTGTAGGCAACCCTTCCCTTCTCTTGAAAACTTACAAATGATTTGGGCTTGTGGATAATTAATGATTAAACCACCAGAATAAAACAATATTTTAAATCTACCAATTATGGTAGTCATATCATCATTAGATTAAACAACAGAATTTTTAAGAGTGGGTATTAGATGTGGTGGAAATGGAGAAATAGCTAAGAACTATTTGAAATTAATTATGCTCTATCTAGGGTGATAAATATTAAATCATATAAAAATATTTATATTTGTCTTACTTTTTTTTAAGTTAATCAAATCACTATTTTTATTTAAATTAATGATTACTTTTAGATTATGCAGTTGTGAACTTTCCTTAATAATTGAATCCAAGCTTATCAATTGAAGTCCAGACAAATTAATCTCCAGAAGCATATCCACCTTTATTCTTTAATCAAGTATACAATTTTCTAAGAATTTTTGCTCCATTGGTTGAACCCCATAAGTGTGTAACATCATAGCAACTGAAAATTTCAAATATCCAGCCGAAAAAATTGTATTTTTCCTTGTGCCTAATTAATCCTTGCCCCAAGTTGAATAGCACTATTCGTATAATGTTTATGATATTGCATTTGATATGACAATTATCAACAAGATACTAATCACCTATTTCATTATTTCTAATAATGTCACATTGTGCGACGTCAAACGCTAATAATATATGTATTTTATTCAATCTAAATGAAAAAACAATCTTTATTGTTAGAATCGTTAAAAAAATCTATTGAAATTCTAAAATTATTATAACGATTCATCCAGTAAACTTTAATCAACAGTTTCCCAGAAATATCATAGTAACGTTATTTAACTTTAATTAATTTCAGAAAATTCTCCAATCTTGATGAATTAATAAATTTATTATTCTAATTTTAAACATCATTTTATGATTTTTAATAAAGATGTATACTTATTAAGTTTTGATAAAAATTTTGAAATATAATTAATTAAACATTAAATCAAAGGAATTTTACAAAATATCTAGCCAATATGTTATACAAATAAAATTATTATGTATAAATAAAGTAAAATTAGTTTGAGGTGCATTATAATTTTAAGTCAGATTTAAATTTCTTAATTAATTAAATAATATCTTTTTAATAAAAATTACATTTGATTTATTTTATTAAATTATATATCCTATTTAATTTTCTAATTCTTAAGATTATGTTAATTAATAAAAAAACACTAATAATTATTAAAAGATTAGAAGTTGCAAATATAATTTAATCTAAATTATAATTTATAAATATTATTATGTGCAAAAATTGAAAAATAATTCAAAAAATTGTAGATTATTGATTTTTATTAATAATATTTCCTCTATAATTATATTTTATAATTTGTTTAGACAGACAAAAATTAGTGTTTATATTTTAATAATTTACATAATTTAAATTAAATTTATTAATAAAAATATGATTTTTTTATAATTTGATACTAATTTTTTCAAAAATATAATCGTTTTTATTATTTTTATTAAATTTAATCATAATCATAGATAATTCCAAATTTTTATTTCTATTCATTCAACATAAACCTTTTAGTTTTAGTATTATTTTACATCTAATATTCCATTAGCTTAAAATGTTCAAAAAAATATTTTATATTCTAAATGATGCTCAAGCATTTTATTATTTCTACTACTGAAATAGATAAATAAGCAATAATCTAAAAATCCCTTTATTCAATTAATATTAGAGTGATATATTATTTTTATTTTTTATCTTAGATTATTCTTATAATTTAAACATAATTATTTAATATCTATATTAAAAAATTTAACTTTTGAATTACCAATTTGATCTTGATAATCATTTATATTGTATACTTATCAATGACTTGTATTTTCATTATTCTAAGTAATAATTCAAAACATAAATTTAAATTATATTCTAACTAACAACACAATCTCAGTTATAATCTTTAAAATTTATAATTGAAGAGTATATTACAAATAAAGTTTAAATTAAATATGATTACAAACATTTTTATTATTTTTATTCGATTCTTGTATAGAAATGAGTTTTCTAATTCTTTCTTGTAATCTGCATCAGTTTCTTTGAAATCATCTCTCTGTTTTATACCGACACTCCAATCACAAATCGAATATATTTATGTAACATAATTTTATCATTTTTTTAAAATAAAGTGATTTCAATACACTTCATTCATTCACTCTTATTCCTGATTATTAATCTAATAAATTTCAGAATTCTCAAATTCTTGAATTTAATTTTTAATAACATTAACTGTTATTTGTTTAACTTTGTTTTTCCTTTTCAATGTTTTCATTAAGAAAGTGATTACTTATATTCAATAGACCTTTTTGTTGATCTATTATAAACCTATCCTAAGTATTTCTACTTTGAGAAATGTTGAAATATAGAATGATTCTAGTAGAATTAATAAAACATTTACTAAAGATCTTCTTCGGTCAATATTGATACGCCCTCTTGTATCAAACTTTTAGTTAATAATAACTGTTAAATGACAATAGAACATGAATCATCCAAGGTTTATTTGATTAATGTTCTTCATCAACTTCCAAGGCTTGCCCACATCTAATTATAATAAATTACAAGCCAGCATTTATGTAATTGTCTTTTTTATTGCTTGCTTGAGTTTTACACCTAAAAACTTTATTCTAAAACATCTATTTATCATCACTTAAAATAGATAATTTGAGGTTATAACTGAGCAGAATTTTTTCGAAGATAGAATTCCTTCCTTATGATGCAGTTGTAAGCTGAATCGATTGATTCAATGTCTGCATTTGCCTCTTATAAAGTTTAGATAATTAAACTGAAAATATATAAACAGTTTATTTAGAACGTGATCATAAAGTGAAATAGATATTTAATTATTTAATTAGAGTATTAAAATTTCATTTTGTTTTTAGAATGAAGTATTTACACTAGATTTAAATAGTATCACAAATAATCAGTCTTAAATTATTTGCAATAATAATAGTGGGTAATTATTTAGTGAAATCATAAGCTATTTAAGTTAAGAGTTAATTTCAAAAATGTTTAGAAGTCAAATCAATTGATTTTTGTAATTTGTGAAAATAATACTTAAAGTGAAAGTTATATCTACATTTTGGAACAAGAGCTACTCAAATTAGTCTAATTGACAATGAATGATTAATCAATTATAAATCCTTTATATCATAAAATTGCATTTAATCCTTTTACCCTATTTCCTATTATTTAAATTTTTATCATATAAACGTAAAATCATAAATTGCTGCTTAATAAATACAAATTACATCAATCTATTTGCATTTATTAATCCATAACTTAACTTCTTTTTTATACTTATAATTTTATATCAAATTTAAAAAATACATCTTCGCTTTCTCTAATTGCCATATTATTAATAAAATTCTACATTAAATTGTTTTGAATTGAATCAAATATATTCAGATTATTTACAATATATTGATAAAAGTCTACCTTAGTAATACAAAAATAATTTAACAGAATTTATATCATAATTTAGGTCACATACATTGGTAATTCATTATTAATATTTAAATTAGATTTTAAGAATAAATAAGTGTATAAGATGATTCATTAATCATATTAAAATATAAATAATTATAGAGAAATTTTAAATTTTTTTGGACATAATGATATTCTATAAAATATCGCAATTTGAGTTAAAGGATTTGGATATAGTAGAAAATTAAAAAATATTAAATAGAAGATGAAGAAATAATCATATTTAGTAAGCAGGATTTTTTCTGTTAGCAAAATGGTATGTTCTTAAGGGTTGAACATAATTTAAATGTTAGTAATATTTTTAATAAAAATAAAAGTTTAGAATGGGATTGTAAGATATATGTATTTAACCTCTAGGGATATAAAAATGAGATTAGTATTGAGTAACACATTCATGTCACTAGTGGTTGTTTGTAATCTTGCTTATTACTCATACTTAAAAGAGAATGATGATAACCATATTAAAGGAACTTCATTAATTACTAACATACCAACAACAGATCCTGATAAATATTCAAGCTACTTAAGTCTTTCAATTGCTGCTTTTTGCTTGATGTTAGTAGGATTTTTGATTGGAATGGTTCAACCATTTTTAAAATAGGCTGCTCTTACTTATGTTTAAGCTTTACTAATATTGACAGGATATGTTTGTTTGTTTGCAGGAATATTTATTCTAGACTCATTTTCTTATGGATTTAAAGATGGCGAACCTTTCAATTATTAAGTGGCTGAATTTTTTGCAATAGGAGGTGTTTTTATTTAAGGGATGGTAAATTCCTGGAGGCAAAGATCTGTCAGTTGAATAATAATCATATAAATAATACAATAATATTACCATTGGATTAATTAAAGAAATGAATTCTCTTGATCGACTTAAATAGTAATTCTAGAAAACAACAAGTTCATTGTCAAATTTCCATAAGACAGCTGCTAATCTAGAAAGATAGGCATATTTTTAAGGATAATATGATATATTAGCACAAATACTATAATTTCCATCTATGGATGGACTGATGGAATGGGTAAGAAAAAAAAGTGATGAAGTATTACAAATATTAGAAAAGAACAGTGTGAGATATTAAATATCAAAGCATCCTTTATTGACATCTGAGCCGGCTGCCCTTAAGATGAAGACTACTTTTTTAAAAGAGCCTCAACCTTAATATATTTAATAACAACCATAAATGTAAATGAATCAAAAATCATTTGAAGAAGAAGATGGCAATACTTATTATACATAAAATAATAACCAATATGATTATAGGAAAAGAAGATAAGATTAAGAATTTGGAAACTTTTGAAATATGTTTTAATAAACCTGAATGTGTAATTGAATATAAAGAATATTATCTGATAAATGGATTATCATTTTTAATTTCTAGAAGCACTTTCTGGTTCATCACTACCTTCACTTTCACTACCATCTTCATCATCATCTCCTGCATGAAAATCATCATCATCATCATCGGAATCCATATTATTTGGATCTATGTTGGTTTTCTAAAATATTAATATATATAATATAAATACATTCTTTTTCTTTTATCTACTATCATCATCATCTTCTTCATCATCGCTATCATCCAAAGGAAGATGAGGTACTTCATCTTGCAATTTTCTTACAGCAATTTTTTTTTATTAGAAATATTGAGTCAAATTGTCAAGTTCATCTCTTTCTATTCCTGAAAATAATTGATTCTAATTTTTGTATACTATTTTCACATCGAAAAATTTATTTAAATTAGTTGATCCAATCTAAAATATCAAATAATATTTACTCTTTAGAAAATTACTTCTTTAATTTCTTCATGTTTTATGTGTAATACAGGCTTTTATAAATATATTAATGATTTTTCTAATGGAAATAGAAATCCAGAATGAGGACCAACTGAACATCTCAAACAAAATAGTCCATTCTTACTTTTGAAATTCTTAGGAGATACAACTTTAATTCCTGTTATTTCAGATAAGACTTCGCATACAATATCATAGAGTGGTCCAGAATATTCCTCTTTAATTCCCTTCCAACCAATTTCATCTAATTTTTGTCTACTGTATTTTAGTTTGATTTCATTTTCAAAATCCTTCTTAAATTACATGACCAAAAAATTGTATGTAGTTTGACCTTACTTGAAAGGATTTTCTAAACCTATCACAAAGGATAGATTAATTTCATCAGGCATAGGCAGCAAAAAGAATCTTGAAATTCCCTTATAATCAGTTGTAAATTGATATGTATTTCCATGAAATCTGATATCTTTTTTAAAGAAATCCATTGTATATTTACCTCTAATAAATTTATTAAATGAATTTATTACCTTGGTACAATTAAAGGTACATCATGTATGGTCAAAATTGAATCAGCACTACTCTAACCAATTTTTGCTTTAGTTAATATTTCATTTTGTAATTTCTATTAGAATGTTGGTTCAGCATCTTCATCTGCTTCATCTTCCTCTTCTTCCATGCTATTTTAATTGTCCTCATTTTCTTGTTTCTTCTTCTCTTTATCTTGTTTCAATTTCTAATTTATTTCAACTATCTTACCTGCTCTTGAGGTGGAATATAAAATCTTACTTCGCATAACATGTCATCACTAATAATTTAAGATTATTTACATACTTGTCACCATAATCATCTGTACTCAATTAAAGTACGATATCATTTTTCTAAGTGTTTGAATTTACAACTTTTTTCAGTGGCAATTTGATAATATTGCTCTGATTATATTTCATGCATAAATTTTTATCATCAATGGAAACCACACCCCAATTAGTGCCCTTGGTGCATTGATCTGACATAATTTAAATTATAATATTTATTAATTGGCGCATAAAAATATCAAAAAAATAAATCAATCCTATTTTCTTTTTATCTTTATTTTGTTTAATATCTTATTTTCCATCATTTTCACTCATATCCCACTACACTACCCTATTTTCATAAGAAAAACATTTAAAATCTTCCAAAAATTACATTATTCATTCTTAAAACATTCAGTCTTTTGGGAACCTCTTATTTCTTATATTCTCACATGTGAATCAATTTTTTGTAAAAAAAAAGCATATAATAAATTATAATTAAATTTTTTCAAATATATTAACAATTTTCTATAAAATGTAGATCAATTACTAATCTCAACTATTCTTGATTATTTATGTCATCTATTTACTTTGTATTTAAATCAACTAATTTTGAAGATAAGTATACATAAAGTCTAGTAATTAGTTTTTAATTCTTAAATCTCTCCTATTAAGTCTTACTTGTATGTAGAGGAAATAGTATTATTTTGAAAAATTGTTGATAACAAAAACTTTCAGGCAAAACATCTTAAAAAATTTCAAAATTTACTCTGTAGAGTTAGTTCATATATCATAAAATTTCATTATATAAAAATATTGAGATTGATTTAAACTAAAGTAATTATTCGAAAATTAATAATTTCTAGAAATTTTTAGGATAAAAGTTATTTCAAGAATTTAAGTCAATTATTAAAAATTAAGCTCCATATAAAACCTTAAGTAAGAAATAAGATAGGATAAAAATGGAATCGAATGATGATATTTTTAATAATTGCCATTTAATTAAAAATAATCAACAATTTTTTATTTAATGAGTTAATTTGCTCACTTCTTCTATCCAAACTGATGCAATCTATTAAGGTTACATTGAAGCTTGTAATTTAGCAAAACCAAAGTTTGATTTAAAAAATTCTACAACCTTGATTAATGTAATTGGAGATTATTCCTCAGAACAAGCAATTAATTCTATTTTTTATTTTTTTTCTGGAGTAATTTATTTAAATTTTTCCAAAGCTTATCTAGGATATCCATCGCCTCCATCAGTGTAAAAGAATATAGAATGGCTAATTATAAATTAATATATTTACGAATCGAATTTATCAAATTCTTTATTTTAAGAAATTTTCTCACAAGCAAGCAAAAAGGCTGCATTGAAATTAGTTCCACCACCTTAATATATTATCTAAGATTATTAAGCCTAAGCATTAGGAATTTAATAATCAAGAGCACATCTAGCTGAGCTATTGAAAATAATAATAGTAACCCTTGAATTAGGATTTTTTTGAATCTCAAAAAGAAAAGCCACCAAACCTTATTTAGCAGATTCAAAAGGTCTTCCATACATGGATCCAGAGTCATCTAGCATTAATATGTAATGAGCTGTCTTTTAATTTCCTGAATTTGCTCCTAGCTCAACTTCCTACTTTGGAACATAAAATATATCTTTTCCAATTTCTTCTGTTAATTTTTTGCAAATCATCTGTCCAATATTATTATTCCAAATCTTCATGAATTTTTCCTTTTATAAATTTAACTCATCTTTCGTGAGACAAGAAAATAACCATGTATTATATATTTATTTAATTTCTTTCCACTTTTTTATATTTTATGTTTCTAATTCTGATATGAAAAAATCATCTTGTATTTCTTCACAAGTATATAAAGAAGGATGACAACCAATTAAGACTCCACTCATGCCTAATTTATAATATAATAAATACCTCTTAATTAATGTCCATTTCTGCATTAATGTTAATGATTATTATCATCAATTTCTTAATCACATTTTCTTTTACAAATAGGACAGAATTCTAAACATCCAATTTATTTTAGTTGTAATGCGTCTAAATCAGCTTAAACTTTAAGTTTTTCGAATTCAATCTGCATAGTGTCTAAACTTGAAATTGCATCTTTTATTTTCTTTTCAAAAGCCTTAACAAAATCTAACAATATTTATATTTCTGCATCTGATTTTTATATTGGCACACATAAAGAAAAATCAAAAATATGAAAATCTTAAGTTTAGAATGCATCTCTTTTATCTTCTTTTATTTAATCTAATAAATTCTATTAAACTTATCCTTAAAGACAACTTTAAACTATTTTATATAATAATTCTGGAGCCTCATCAGGGTTGTTTAACTATTTAAAGTAGTCTTATGCCTTTAGATCATAAGTGACAAAATCATGTAAATTTTTTGTGTTTGCATCCACTTTTTAAAGATGAGATTTCAAATCTTACCTTAATTTATTAGTTAATTTAATTTAAATTTCTGATTTAATATTAGTTATTTTGTCTTTAACATATTTTCCTATATAAGCACATTGATTTCTGATATATGATATAATTTATTCATCTGTAATATTTTTATCTGATCTTTCTAGAATTTCTTTGTCAAGTTTCTTCATTAAATCAAAGCTTGATTCTTTACTTTAAATGGCTATTATTTATTCAGCTTCTTTACAGTATTACTAATAACATCTTTAAGTTGCTTAATTGATGATATCTTATGCTTAAGTTTATCCTCTAATTTTACTTTATTCTTTCTTATTTTATTAAATATCAGCCTTAAATTTTATATATTATTCGTCAGTTTAATCTTTCAATTCTTTAATATTACTTTCTATAGATTGATATAGTCCAAAACATAATATTCTCCAAACAGTGAAAATGGCATAATAAAATAGACATCTCTCTCCTAGGTCATTTAAGATTACACCAAAATCAGAGAATTACATATTAAACTCTTTAATTTACACTTCAATTTTTTACATGATTCTTTTAATTAAACTATTACTATATTTATTAACTTTGACATTCTCATTTTCTTAAAGAATAGCATTTTTATTTATATCAATAATTTCATCTAGTATCATTTAATGAATCTCTCCATACATTTTATTCCAGCCTTCATTATTATTTTCATTCATCAGATCTTATACAACTTTTGCAATATTATTCTTAAATTGATTTTAATGCTGATAGTTATCTTTTTAATTCT